CCCCCCAAAAAAAACACTCACCATCAAATCTTAAAAAACACTGAAGAAATTTCAAATCAAAAAGAAACGCATTCTTCACCAGACTTAGTTGTGTTCTTTTGTACAGCCCCAAATTAATATGCTTCTTGCTCCACCAGAGAACATGGCACGATAGGTAGAAATGCCAGGTTGCTTTCTGTTTCTAAATAGGTAAGGAGGAAGCACCCTCTTCTTTATTATCAACAATACCCTTTCCATGTGACTTGATTATATAACTGTGTCTCCACCCTCAGTGGCCAATGCAATACGGGAAAAATCCTGGCACTGAACCCAGGAGTAGCTCAAAGACATTTTCCACTGGAGAGGCAACTCAAACACACTGTCACTGCAAAACAGTAGGGATGCTTAGAATCTTTATCATGCTCAGCAAAATATTCTTGCACTCTTCTTTTGACTCCAAAAACTTTCAAAGTGGCTTTCAAAGATCAACTAGGCTTCCATTCAAAGAAATGTGATAACCTCCCCCCCAAAAAAGGAAGAGGGGAGCACACCTAAAAAACAATCCCTGCAAATACAGTAAAGCAGAAGTGAAAATAGATGAATGAAAAATGAGCCCAAACAAGCTGATTCCTCACACAATCTGATGGGGTGGGCCTCTTTTCCTCTCTTCTTTTCCTACACATTGATGGAATAAGGCAGACGGCTAATTTAGCTTGTGTGCATTCTGAGTAACAGTCACCCTGAATAATCTGAATGAGGGCACATGAAATTCCTATTCTACTTCCCTTTGAGTCCCATGTACAATCCAAGATTGATGTGTGTGTGTGTGTGTGCGCGCATGGGACAAAAAGACTATTTTCTATTAGTACTAGCCACTTTTTCACAATGCAGCTTCCATGGGGAGGAGAGGTTATTTTATTTTGTTTAATTTTTCTTACCTCAAACACTAGTTCTGAAAGGTAAGATAGAAGAGTAAAAGAATGCCTTTTCTTGAGTAGTGTTAAGAGCTGTCCATCTGGAAGCGATCATTAGCCGATATGTTTGCAGTTTTCAAAGAAGCAGCTGTGTTAATCAATGGAAGAATATAAGACAAAATAAACAAAAAAACCACAACAGACAAAAACATTGTGGCACCTTAAAGACAAACTGCTATATTTTAATTTGAGTTTTCATGGATGAAGTCCACTGTTATGTCTGCTATCGTATTTAGTCATTTACCATTACATTTTTGTCTCTTGCTTTTTATTTTGTTGTATTATAGCAATTATAGGACAACTTGTTTCTTAATCAGTTAACCAAAAAAATGCCATATTTTGCTTCACTGATTGATAAAAACAGCATGTTCTGCATGCTCAACATAAGAGGTACAAATAATAATGTTGAAAGATGTAACTGTGCTATAACAACATGATTGTTTCCCACGGTCATCCCAGGATATCATCCCAGTTTTATTTCTGCCATGGATGTAATCAAGTACAAAATTGCATATTCCTAGTTAGGCCCTCATGAGTACTTTATATTGTCAGATTTATTCCAACCTTGCATGCTGCCTTTACTATGTGTGACTGGGAGGGACTTTTCTAGGCTGGGGTGACTATTTATCCAGTGTTGACTGATCTTCCTTCCCTGCCTCTGAGTTTAGAGAGAGCTACGCCTCCCTGCTCTGTCTTTTTCCCTCTCTTGAGTCTGTTGGAGGTAAGTCTGTTGATGCTTGTTGCGCAAAGCAGATGTTTTTAGATTGCAATTATCTGTTCAACCGTAAATAATGTCGAGTGAGAAAATACGACAAATGTTATGGTTAGCAAAGGACCAAAGGGACCCCCTCACCACTGCAAGAGTATACCGGATACCTTGCAGTTGTGGCCAGATATATATTGGAACCACAAAACGAAGCATCCACACCAGAATCAATGAACATCAGAGACACTGCTGACTAAAACAACTGGAAAAATTGGCAGTAGCTGAAGATGCCCTAAAACAAGCTGGACATGAAATTCTATTTCGAAATACTGAAATACTGGACAACTCCAGCAATCATTACGTTAGACTGCACAGGGAAGCCATTGCAATCCACAAACACCAGCAGAGCTTCAACAAAAAAGAAGAAAATTTAAAACTAAACAAAGATTGGCTCCCAGCACTGAAAAATACAGCCTGCAAAAGGTCAACAAACTCTACCCAGCCACAAGGACCGGTGATCACTACACACAAAAGACAAGCTAACAAAATCCATCAATTGGAGTAACAGATAATCTCTTCTCCTTATCACAACAATACACCCACAACAAAAACACACTGATCACCATAATCACCCATCTCCTGAAAAGGACAAAAGCTGATCCAACAGCTATAAATACTCAACTCCCAAACAAACTGCACCAGAGCACAGAGTGCTACTCCTGTCCTCTGAAGATGCCAGCCACAGAGACTGGTGAAACGTTAGGAAGAACAACCTTCAGAACACAGCCAAAGAGCCCGAAAAACCCACAACAACCATTAGATCCTGGCCATGAAAGCCTTTGCGAATACATTAAACAAATGTCTCTAATAAATATAGTTATTTCAACCATTAGAAAAAGAATGCTCATTCTAAATGTAAAATAATTTTTATTAAGTTTATGTTTATTTCTCCTTTTAAACTACAGGTTTCATTTTTGTTGTTGTTAAAAGAGGGTTGCTAAAGACAAGGTGAAAAAGTATGAGAGTTCCTCCAAAGTCAGAAACGGGACGTGATGCCAGGGTTTGGGAAGCACTGAATGGACTTATCAAGCTGCACTACAAGGGGTTTCATATCTGGTGCATGACCAGATGATTCTGGCTCAAGTCATTATCAGAGATGTTGCAATTGACAGGGTCTGATGATGGCTCACAACAAAATGGTCTTCTTCATTATATTTTAAGCATATCTGTTCATGTGCTCCTTGTGTCAACAGGATAATATAACATGAATAGAACTCACATGTGGAGCTTCATCAGGTGTATAATGTACATATTCCTCTGACAAGTTAATAAAAATGTGTGTCCAAGTATTCAAGAAACAAGCAGAGGACATGTACTGAAATGAAGTAATTCAAATTAATAATTAACCCAAACCAAGACTGGTTTTAAATACTGTAATTAGGGTTATGCATCAGAGCTATTGCTTCATGTTTATGAGGAAGAGTGCCATCTGGTGGAAAATTTTCAGATTCTGTTTTTGCTGATTTGTGTATTTGTACATAAGTATGTCCTTCAACTTTGGTAGGAGTGTTCTGTAGTGAGGGGTGAAATTTTACATTTTCAGTTATGTGATTGTAAATCCAATTCAGGATAATTATCCCTAATTTGAATAATTTAATATTGCCTTTTCTAATCTGGTTGGCATCACTCCTCATACTCCAGTAAAGTACTCTCAATTCCATTCCGTCTTTACTACTTCTTCCTATCTTTCTTTTAAGAAGACTTTTACGCATCTACCTATACAATGGCTCCCCTCCTACTATTAAGGCAATTGTCCTTTTGTTGTTAATTTAGTCTCTGCCATGGCTTGCGATACTGAAGTAAGTATGGCCTAATAAGCTTTATTCTGGGAAACAGATGGACCATCAAACTAGACTCTTAGTGGTCTACTCTCTAGACTCTTACTTTCTGTACTGTTCTAAATTCCAATTTCATCAGCTCTGGACATTTGCCAGGCTGGCTAGGACCTGTGTGATTTAGAATCCAACATTTGGAGGGCTTCGGCTCTTAATGTTGTTTTATATGCTGGCCAAGATACTGTTGTATAAGTTGCACCTTTGGAAGAGTGATGATGTTACTGGAGGGAAAGATTTTCATTGATTAAAGCCTTCCTCCTTCCATCCCATGGCTTTCACACAATGACATGGGTTACTTGTGAGTTCAATAAACTACAAAAGGAAAGGAGGAAGCCATTGCCCTGAAAATCTCCCCCATCATAGATGTCATGCCTTTGCAGGGGTCCATTATCAAATATTCACCAAACTTTCAGGAGTTGTAGAAATGCAACTGAGGAAGCTTCCCTGCAAATTTGGTGTCTCTAGGGGCCAGTTTTATAGCCGTTTAAAGTGAAGATGGGGGACATGGTGGTGCTGTGGGTTAACCCGCAGAAGCCTCTGTGCTGCAAGGTCAGAAAACCAAGCAGTTGCAAAATCGAATCCTCGCGACAGAGTGAGCTCCCGTCGCTTGTCCCAGCTCCTGCCAACCTAGCAGTTCAAAAGTATGTAAATGTGAGTAGATGAATAGGTACCATCTCAGTGGGAAGGTAATGGCATTCCGTGTGTAGTCCTGCTTGCTACGTGACCACGGAAACTGTCTACGGACAAACGCTGGCTCTACAGCTTGGAGACGGGGGTGAGCACTGTGCCCTAGAGTCAGACATGACTGGACTAAATGTCAAGTGGCACCTTTACCTTTACCTTAAAGTGAAGATGAATTGACAAATTAATTCATTGATTCGTTGAAGAATATTTGTATATTCGTATTCATTGAGTTGTTAACCTTGACTAATCATGAATAAAAACAAATCACTTTTTTTTAATTTGTCCCCCTCTCTAGTTGAGACCTTTACCTCTACTAATGTAATTATCTTCTGTTGCCACTGTTTCCCATACATTTTCTTGCAACTCACGTTTTGGGACATAAGATGGAACTGTAGATTGAGCTCATGGACATACTGGGTCTACAAGCTAATACTGCAAGTCTGAAGAGACCTTCTGAATAAAACTGATCTTTATTTGAGTGTTCTCCAAGATGAAGCAATGTTGAATTGCAGTGTGGGACAGAATTTCGCTCATTATAAAACCCATTGTAATAAAAAATCAACAGATGCTTACTCCACTGATCAGCAGTGGCGGTGGCAGCAGCAACTGAACACACAGACTTTGATGGAGCATATATGAAAACTTTCGAACCACTTAGGACAGCTCCTAGAATTGCTGGATTCTAGCAATAGCAGGTGTGATTTTTTCAAAATAAAGAATATGGTAGCAATGAAGTTGTCAGAAAGTAAAATATCCAAACTATGTAGCTAAATGGGTTTTGTGTTTATTGCTTGCCTTGTTACATTCAGTGCTTGGGACAGAAAAACAGTATCAAAATGCAAAATACAAAACAAAACAAAGGAAGTTAGCGTTGGATTGGAAATTTCTAGGCAGCTGGATAAGAAGTTTCACATGCATTTGCTCCCAAGCATATTTATGGTTTGCATTTCCGAGAGAGACATTCGCACTGCCTGGCATTAAAGACTTCATGCTGTACGATGGAGCCGTTGGCACAGCGGAGGGGCACTTGCATTGAATTTGTCACCGTAGCCGAACAACAGGTGCACTGATCTTCAATGTGATGCAGTGTAATGTTATAAATGGCTTTGCTTGCACATTTCCCCTGAAAATGAAATGAGAAATAGATGACTTTGTGACATTTTTCACAGACTAAAATCCCAAGCTTTCCAGAAGAGCTGCTCATATATGCTCAGAAAAATGAAAAGAATTATGGTTAAGGAACCTTAGGTTCTTCAGCGGTACTCAGACTCCTCTTCCCCAAATTCTTAGCAAGCATGGCCAATGGTGAGGATTTATGGGAGTGGCTAAGTGGCTATTCAAAATATACGAAGGGCCAAAAGTCACCTGCACTTGATATAAAATATCACGGTTTGCATACAGGAATCCTGCTCCAGCCTCTAAACGCCTTCCTCATCCCATCTCTCTACCGAAATGTCTCCTTTCTCATTCCTTGTTGCCTCAACTATGGCTTAGTATCACATAATGTGCCTCAACACCAATCAGGGTTCACCTGCTTGAAACTGGCATCTTGTATCAAACTCTTATTTCAATACTTGTGCACAGGAGAACTTAGGCATATGCCCCTGAAATTTTGGATTGATCTGACCCTGCCTTCTGGTATTGCAAAAACAAATACAAAAACAGACAAAAACTTAAAATGTGCTTTTGTTCAATTGTTGTGTAGGGCTATCTTTGAAGCCCTTTTACAGTATTAATAAGAAACAGATTTCGAATGTGACTTTGGGTGTGTTTTATTTACAGTGAACAAATGAATGAGAGAGAGAGATGTTGGGGGATTATTTTAAATGGGAAGAAGCAAGCTTAAAATAGCATTCATAATTTTGTGGATGGAGAATCTGACAATTTTTAAACAGTCAAGAGTGAGGACAGATAGCCAGCTGAAGCTCTGTCAGTTGTTTCCTGATTATGTATGCTTCCCAAAACAAATATGATTCCTTTGGCAAAGTGCCAGCTGCTGAGAAATGCTACTTAATAAACTTTTGCAACAGTTTGATGAATAAGATTTGTTAAAGGAGTTACAAAATGGATAAACAAACATTTTAAATTGGTAGCCATTATGAGTACAAATGTAGGAAAGAAAGACTTGGTTGAACATAAAGTAACATGTATTTAAACACTTACACTTTTACACCATATAATATTAACTATATATATATGTGTGTGTGTGTGTGTGTATGTATGTATGTATGTATGTATGTATGTATGTATGTATGTATGTATGTATGTATGTATGTATATGTGTGTGTGTGTGTGTATGTATATGTATGTATATAAACGTGTATATGTCTGTGTGTCCATGTAGACAGACAGACAGACAGACAGATTTAGTATTGATTTTGGAGATGCAGAAATCAGGATCCTGCTTATCTGTACATTTTTTCTGGTATCCTGTTCAATACAATTTTGCACCATACTTAAATTTTAACAATACAAAATGCCAGTGCATGCTACAGTATAATGGTGCCTTTGAGCTGCATAAAAATCTGTCTAGAAATGTATGGCTTAGGGATGATTATTACTATGCTGACAGCATCTAAAAATTCTCTGTCATTGTATTGTACTGTAAGATACGTATTGCCCCTCCATTATCTGATCAGCTCTTTAGGATTTGAGAGGTTGCTATTATGATGAAACTGACATTATATAAAAGCAATTGAGGATCAAATGTCTAGAAAGAAATTTACTGAAAAATGGAATGTTTTTGCTGCATTTTAGAATGATAATGCCAGGATTGTTTTCAGCCATGCTCATTGTTTTTGTTGGTTTGAATTTAGAATGTATGCATTAGGGAAAAAAGTTCAATATATTTATTTACTTAAATCTTTAAACTTTTCAATTAAACCCCCCTTTTAAAAAAAGCTTTCTGTGATTAGGAATGCGTGTATCTGTAGTCTACTTTGCTGGGCTTCCTCTTTTTCTAATATCCATGTTCCTTGCAGGTTTTGTGTAGGTGTTTTTTTTTTTAAATGAGGGAAAAAAATCTGGTTGTTTCTCATATTTTAAAGAAATGTATACATTTTTCAAGGGAAAAGATTCCTCATGTATTTCCCCTTATGCTACAGTTCAGGATGGGTGAGGGTGGAAGAAGCAGGCTACAGTTCCAAAAATCGAAACCCAGGTTCCAAATACCACATACCAGCTCACTGCAATTTGTTGCAAGGTGTGCCCAGAGAGGCGTCAAGCATTGTCTACAGAAAATGTGGCCAACTTTGCTTCCACATATTTGTGTCCATTAAATAAATGTAAGTTACCTCACAGTAATGGATATTCAGTTGATCCTCATTTACACAGTCATCCACTTTAATATATTCAAGCCTGCCTGTGACTTGTTTGCATTCTGGCTCTACACCTAAAAAAGCAAAAAGGGGGGTAAGTTTAATAAGAACATCAGCAAAAAGCAACATCTCTGCAAATTATATCAACTTGCATGTCACAGCCATAAGCCATCTCTTTTCTGAAATACCCATGAAGCAGGGCATTGGACCACCGCCATGCAACAGGACTTCTCAGATAAAACAACTAGACACAATTCCATATGGTAATTAACGGGTAGACTGTATGGATGGATTCAGATGGTGATTAAAGTGTATGCTACTTTCCCTCTTGAGCTGACAATGAGCAGCACATGAAATTATACTGCTCAAATACTAATACTAAATCCTCTGATTCTTGTAGCCAGCTGGCCGAGCAGAATTGCACCATAATCCACCATGTGATTGAGTAGCATTCGGAAGCATTAGATGCATACACATTAGGTATTGTCTGGGTTCATGACTTGATAAAAGTGTAAAAGGGAAATCCTTGTATGAAAACTGAGATGAGGTGCTGGAGTAAAAAGTAGGCTTTCCTCTTGAGGCCTTTGACTACAAAGCTGCCCAGCTGGGGAAAAGGAGAGGAAGGTCTGTTCTAAGAACTTTCTGGGGGCAAATATTACAAATTTGAAGCCACACCCTCCCCTCACAGGCCTCTTGCAGACTGCCTCTATTTCCATCTAAGAAGCTAAACCTGGCTCTAAGAACGGCCATGAGACATTGGGACTATAATATAAACATAGAATTTTGGAACTGCCCACAAGAATTTGGTGCACGCCCTGAAGAAGATGAATTGAGAGCTAGTTACAGTATTGTTATTTTTAAAAAGTGGTCCAATAAAAGTATCATCTGCTCCTGCATTTGTATTGTTTTGTGGACCATGCAGCATTTTCCTGATTTTTTTTCCTGAATTGTTATAAATATGAATGCTACATATCCCTTTTATTTATCTTCATCCCTGTAAGACAGGGCAGTTCTTTCAATATTGGGTCACAGATGACAGGGGGAAGGGAAAGATGCTAACAAATGTTGAACTGCCTAACAGTCACTGTTCACAAGAGCTTGGCCAGGATTTCAAAGAGAACTTTAACAACAAAGTAAAGATCTAACTGTATGTTATTATGAATGTTTAGCATGCAGCTTCCTAGACATTCTTATTACTTAAAAGTGGGAGTGAAATAACATGTAAAACTTTTCTCCCCAGCCAGAACCACCTTGAAACTCAGCCTCCTCATGTGGCAATTGAGATTTCATTTCACTATACTTCTTCTACTATTCATGCTCAGAGCCATACATGGAGTATACAACAACCAAGATGAAAAAAGAATGTCAAAACTGTCATAAACTTCCAAAGATGGAAGAAAAATATGTACAAATATTAAAATCAAAAACATAGTTAGAAAACCAGTTAAAAGAGATACGTCTCAATGTTTTTCAAAAAACTCAGAAACTAGAGGGCCACCTTCTAAAGGGAAGACATTCTACAGTTGTACTGTCTTCTGTTGATCTTAATAATCAAATAGGCCTGCTGTTAGATAGGAACCCACTAACATGCTAAACTCCAACTCTGAAAGCTATTTAGACCTTTAAAAGGTAAAAAACAGTAACCACATTTTGCAGCAGCTGAAATTTCCAGTCACTCTTCAAGGGTAGCCCTTTTGAAATAGTTTAAACATGTTACCACCAAGGTATGTTTTACAGTGGTACCTCGATTTACGAACTTGACCCGTATAGGAACAGCATTCGTACGTCGAAAAGTTCGTAAGTTGAGGCAAACTTTTCCATTGGAATGCATTGAAAACCATTTAATCCGTATCTGCTGTTTTTCATTCTTAAGTCTAGGCGCTGTTCTTAAGTCGAAGCATTAGTTCCCACAGGAACTAATGCAAAGCCGGTTAATCCGTATATACCACTGGGGGGGATTTTTTTTCTTTTGACGTTTGGTTCGTAAGTCAAGGCTCAGTTCGCAGGTCAAAACAACTTTTGGTGAATGAGCCATTCGTAACTCAAGTCATTCAGTTCGTAAGTCAAGGCTCAGTTCGCAGGTCGAAACAACTTTTTGTGAATGAGCCATTCGTAACTCAAATCGTTCGCAAGTAGGGACGTTTGCAAGTCAAGGTACCACTGTACTGTTATCAAATCAGGAAATCTTACAGCTTATACACTATACGGTGAGATAAAAGAACACTTCTTGCAACAATGGGCCTTCTTTTTCTCTGCAATCGTAAGCTTCCTATGCCTATTCTATCATGTATTCCTACTGTCTCTGGTGACCTAGGTGAGATAAATGCCAGTGGGGTGACATAAGGCCAACAACAGTTAAAAGTACAAACAAATATATCTTGATTTCCATCTGTATCCTCCCCCCCCCTTAGTAGAAAACTGCCCAGCCAGAACCTGGATATTTGCCAATTTGCATATTTTTCTGAAATGTTTGGTACCATCCTAACAAAGGTTCCTATTAGCAGATGAAAGCCACAACAAGAAGACCACATTGTTGGGAATGTTTCCTTTTATTTTTGCTTTGCTGCTTTATTTTCTGCAGCATTTGTTTCACTTCAAGTCTTTCAAAGCCTTTTAAATATTGTGTTCACCTCTGTTTTATGTAAAGGTTAATTGACAATTTTCAATAATGGCTCTGTGCCTTAATCCTGGTAGACAGATAAAAAGCCCTCTTAATTAAATTAACTTGTGAGCAGTATTCAGTGGTAGTCTATTATCTCAAGAGCTCCACTGACTTTTATTTCTTAGAATCGGAGCTTGCTGATATATGGACAGGCAGCAGCAAGAAATGATCTTGGGGGTGACTCCTCAAAACTGGGATTTTGTTACAGCAATTACAATGCCTATGTATGGATGGCCTGCTGTGCATCACATCTTTTATTTATTGGCACATGAACTGAACAAAAAGAAAGAGGAGAGAGAGAGAGAGGATGGAGGGTGAAGAGGTGCTGACATTTTGCCCCTCAAATGAGGGATAGCTTTCAGTGCTAAACAAATTCTATAATTATCCACCATATAATTTGGCAACCCAAGCCTTCATTCAGGGTCACATTGAAGAATTACCTTGCAGTCTGTTAAAACATGAAAAAAAATCAGGAAGGGAAACAACACTTCATTGTTTTCCTGCATTACTAGCAATTGTGGCATACTGTCCTTTCAAATTAAAACTGGATACACATTTCAGGCTCACATTTGACAAACTGTATTCACAGAATGCATAAGACTAAGGGCACACACATACACACACACAGAGAAAAGACCACACTACCAATCAATATTTCTATATGGATTACTGGTCTTGACTGACATTATTGGAAAGAGGCATGTCCAAAGCAGTGGTCCATGCAGTCGCAAGTGTGAGTAGATGTGCATCTCCGTGTGCTGTGTATCTTATATTGGAAGTGTCTGAACAGACAACTGTATCAAATGCAGGTGTGCAATAAACTAGGCTGGTGTGACCACCGACCACACTCAGGAAGCTCCCAGAGTACATGTATTCTAAAGGGGTCTACTGGGTCTGACACCTCCTTCACAATTGGCTGTGTTGCCATCAGCCTAGCATTGCTTCTGGTGCCTGCTGTCAAGTGTAGGAATCCAAATCAAAGGAGATCTGACAGATGGTTTTCCCATTTTCTCTTGAATGCCCCAAACTTACTGGTATCCTACCACTGTCATCACTGTTTTAACGACACTAGAGAGACCTGGCAGTGGTGGCCACTGGCAACAATGCTTGCGGGGGGGGGGGCAGCAGAAGCACAGTTGTTCCAAGTGGGCTCAGCAGCAGGGTTATGCAGAGAACCCACTTCAGTTTGGTGCCAAGTCTGAATGGAATCGCCTATCTTGGAAGTTGATGAGATGGAAACAAGGCCAAGTTAACAGTTCATATAAAAATGCCTATTTTGGATGCATATTTGGATGTGGGCTTTTTTATTTTATTGTATTGTATTTTTGGTACGGAAGCCTGGGATGCTTTTACTGTATTTATTAGTCTGTCTAGGGACATTAGTAGTTCTTCCATGACTCTCAAGCATATAGTTGCACACAGTTCAGGAATTCTTGTATTTAACAATGGGATACAATTTGAACATGGCAAATTTAAGCAATTTTCAATCTGATTGGATGGCAAGGAAAGGTATGCAAATTTCAAACATCTATAACTCAAATCAAGCTAATCTAAAAGTACTTTTTTGAATATATATATTGGAGAGAATACTAATCTCATAAACAAGATATCGTTGGAAGTTGAGCTATGATGAAATGTTTTTTATTTAGAAGTTTCCTAAATTCCAATTTTCATAGAGATGTAAAATATCATTCCAGGATTTGTTGCAAATTTCAAAAACTATGAGCATTGAGTCTGTGCATAAAAATTGGATTACAGTACATTCTTATAAAATAGGTTAGTTTATTAGAGAGCCAAGTTAATTGTGATACTTATGGTCAAATATCGTATCTAGCTTGATACTTGCTTTGTAATGACCACATTGCTGACATACAGGAAAAGTTTGCACTGGCATCACTGTGAACAGCAAATATGTGAGGAGGACCATTCTGTTCAGGACTGCAGTGGTTTAAATCCTTTCATGCCCCCAATACCGTGGCCCTGATCTGGTCCATTATTACATCTCTGCTGGCTATTCGTTTTTTAAAACAATAATTTAATACAAAGGAAGCCACATGACAATCATATCTATTTTGGCCTTTATTTTAAGCCATCTATTCAAACATCCCTTTTTAGAAAGGTCTAGAGATGAGCACAAACTGCTGGTTTGTCATTTCCCAGCCCAGCCACCTACAGTGGGCACCCACTCAGAGGCAGTGTTTAGAGGAGGTGGGGCAGATAAGCCGGGGCACTCCCTCTGAGTGGGAGTCCACCAGTAGCAATAAAGGAAAAGCAGCTACTTACATGTTTTACAGCAAGTGTTGTCGATTTTTGCAATTTTACCCTAAAAAAAAGAGGCACACACACATTATTTAAGATAACATAGCTTCCTTGTGCGCTGTTTCTGTCATACACATAGAGTCTCTTTTGTAACACTTTCTGAATAGCAAGAGATTACAGAAGTTGCTATATCCTAAGAGTGAAGTAAAAGCCAAAGTAAATTCAACCTGCCATGTTTTTCTGGTGTTGCAGAGTGAAGAGGGAGCTGCCCTCATATCGTAGCCCAATGTTCAAACTACTCCTCCTACCCACGCTAGAAAGTGAACAGCCACAGAGAGGAGAACATACAGGTTCTTCATATTGTGATTTGGACTAGGAAACAAAGTGCAGGGTGGAAATGGTTGCTCCTCCCCACATGTTGAGGACTCAGTTATGCATGGGGTCCTTAAAGCTACATTTTGGCAAAGAAACTTAAAAAGATGGCAGAAATTACAAATTACAGGATCATGTCTAGTTTGGTCTTAAATGTTACCAGGAATATTGTGCCGCTATAAACAAACTATAGTACCTGGAGCATCTGTTCATTTATTTAGAAAGGAGTTTTTTTTTTAACCTGGATCTTTCACTCTTATGGAGCTCTTATGATAGCTTACAGTTAGCTATATGAAGGAAAGATGTACAGTATAATGAATTAATTCCATTAATTTGTAAACATTTGTTGTTTGCGAATTCCTCCATTTCCTCCAGCCTGTCTGGGGCCTACTTTCTGGGGCAAGAAGTAGACCCTAGACAGGCTTACTTTCCTACTCAGCTGGTCAGTGATGGCAAGGAAGAGGCCCAAAGTGAGTAAGGTAGATGATGCTGGGGCCCATGAAGAGGGGCTTTGTGGGAGGGGTGGAAGAAACCAATGATGAAAAAGCTTGGCATTTCATTTTGCTTTGTGAACATGCAGTTCTCTGAACGGCCCACAAAAAACAAACAAACAAGGAACTCATGGCTTTTTTGGTTTGTGGTTCGTTTTGTGCCCCTATCTAGTTCTAAGATGAAGAACACATTATCTATATTTGTGGCAACTTAAAGACTAGTTCATTTGTTTGTTGTACACCTTTGTGGATTGTAGACCTCGTCAGGTGGTGTCTGAACATGTGGGCTACAGTTCAACAAAGCTTATGGCCAATTAAACACTTGTTACTCTTGAGAATACTGCAAGACTCCTTGTTGTTTTGTCAGCAATGGACTAACACCAGAAATAGCCATTATAGATATCCTGTAATTTATCCTGTAATAAAAATGGCTCTCCTCCTGAAGATGGAAAAGGAAGTTTGATCATATAACCCATGTGCTCAGACAAACTTTCTGGTTACATTTTTAACATTTCACAACAGTGAGATTGGATTGGAATCCACACTCTACCTGAAAAGCACAAATTTGCCAGTCATTTTTGAATGTGTGTGTATTGCCATTTCCAGGATTTAGCTGACAAGGTAGCTAAGGGGAATTGTTTTGTATTGCCTGCACTTTTTTAAAAAGTTCACACATTTTGTCATATTGGAATGAGCCACAGCCAGATGCATGCAGAATAAAAGGTTGGTGACTGTGCAAATTTTTCCTTCCTTTTCTTTTCTTAAGTGTAGGACCTCAACAACAAACACCTTGTGCAGTTACTTAGTAAAATGAATATTTAAAAGTATGCAAAATCCATTTTTTTTCTTCCCCATCATTTTGTTCCATCTCTCTGACATCTAGGCAAGGTAGAAAAATGCTTACAGAGATCATAACTTTTACATGGAAAAGACCAGTGTTACAGCAGAATTTAGATTGTAAACTACACAAGAGAGGAAGCCTTCTTTACTCTGTAAAGCACACTGTACACAAATGGTGCTGTAGTAATACTCATCATCATCATCACCACCACCACCACCACAATTGTAGTCTGAAGCCTGCCCAGCATAGTTACATTGTAAGCACTACTTACTCCCTCAGCCAGACATTTGTTAGAGTCAAAAGGGGGGCATCCAGTGATTCTCTTTTCCCAGATGAAGTCTCCTTTCATGTTGACTTTACAGGAGTGACTGTCGCAGCCATCTTGGATTGTCTCATTTGGCTGTAAAGAGTCAGAGGATTTTAAATGCAGGAAAGTTGCACAATGGTAACAAGTCATGGATAGTTGCTTTTTTAAAGTTCCAAAATATATCAGGTGAAAGTCTAAAGACCAGTTAATACATTTACCAGGCAGTGACCAGTCATTGTATGCTGGGTATCAAACACATGGATATCCTGCTCCCCAAATATAACGCAAGGGGCAACGTGGGAAATAAACTTCTCAGGTTGAACTCTGGTAGCAATTGGGTGCTTATGCCATCTATCAAATATCCAGGTAAATGTTTGTCTGCAGTAGCGAGTACAGACCAGTTAGATAATATGCTGTGACTTGTCATAATGAAAATGTACTCATCTCAGATAAAGTTTGCCTTCTCTCACTTTAAAACAGAGTTTCATTCTTGCTTCTATACAAGCTGTTTTCTGTTTAACTCAACAACATGTCTCCAGTATGTTATCTATTTGCTGGTCTGGAGCATCAAAGATATTGCATTGCTAGGTATCTTACTGTGGAGAATCGAGATGGATAATAAATGTTGGTTCGGATGTTTACTAATCAAATACACTGTACAGAGTGCAGTGGGACCCTCATCACCATGCATTTCACAGTCAGCAACACAGAAACATTCTGGGCAAAATGAAAAGTAAATACAGTAAAACAGTTTAACAACAGTGGGAAGCTGGAGCAGCTCTCCCATAAGAAATAATCACAATAACTGAAGCTATTTAACATGGGGGCGGGGAAGCAAGATATGTGCCCACAGAATTATTCATGGTGTGAATGGTAAGTCTTTCTTTTTTGTAAGACTAAAACGTGAAGCAATCCATTTAAGCTGAATGGTGAAAAATTACAGAGAAAGATGGAATTCGTTATCAAAAGATAGAGCAGTGGCTGCCAAAATGGACATGAGGGATCATGCATAATTGGCAAAACTTTGTAAGAAGAACTGGCAGAAAAATACCAAAGTCACCATTCCTTTGAATTCACTTCAAGCAGATCTGGCACAGACACCTGCCATGGGCTGTTATTTACAATTTTTCTGCATTATCCATAAGATGTTAGTGGATATACCTAAAGAAGTGGAATTTTATCTATGAAAGCTTGTTGCTGATTCAATTTTTAGTAGTCTAATAGAGGTATTGCCTACTCTTGCATTTCTGTAATCTTAAGGACCACACAGCCATTTCATAATTTTTTCTAGCCTTAGTAATTGTAGATGGATTGCGTCTCATTGCCAGTTGCTAGGGGACATGAGTAGATCATTGTGCTTATGCTGGCTAGGGGACATGAGTAGATCATTGTGCTTATGCGCTTCTGGTGGACTTCCTGTAAGCATCTGGTTGGCCACTGAGGCAAAGGAATGCTGTACTGCATAGGTTTTTCCTGTGAATTCAGCAAGGATCTTATGTTCTGTTCTTAGGATATGGATGGGCAAAATGCCACCAGCGCCATCCTAGCCCCCTAGTTCTCTCCTGCAGAAGGGTGTGGGTCAGTGTGCACATACTAATGGAGGAAGTTTTCACATTAGAGAGGTTGGGCGGGTCCACCCTCCCAAAAATAGTGAAATGTCCATCTAGCCACTTCTTTGAAGATTTGGGTTTTGTGATTTTGTTTTTTAATGCCATTTTCTGACATTTTCCTGCCTGGTGACATCCATGGCTAGATCTGGATATGACAATTTAAAAAAATGTGGTCTACCCACCCCTTTTTTTTTCTTCTATGGCATTATTTGTTGGTAAACTGTCACACTAGAGAACTAAGTTAAAAATTGCACTGCCCTGATTTGCATATACTATAATGAATTAATTTTTAATATTTAGCACTCAGTAACATTTCAGTGGCTTGAGAACACCCCAAGCAAGACTAATAACTCTGTTGCACTGATTTCAGTCAAAGGGTTAGCATGTTTCAAATCTTCTCCTTCTGGAATACTACTTTGTATGCACTGTCTACAGCAGTGGTCCCCAACCTTGGGCCTCCAGATGTTCTTGGACTTCAACTCCCAGAAATCCTGGCCAGCAGCTGTTGCACTGATTTCAGTCAAAGGGTTAGTGCGTTTTTAAATCTCCTCCTCCTGGAATCCTAGTTGGTATGCACTGCCTGCAGTATTTTCCTGCCTTTTCCAGTTAGCCACATTCTTGCCACTGAGGTGGAATGGGGACTTTCTGTAAAAAAATAAACAAACAAATAAACAAAACAAAAAACCCCACCACATCCCATGCATTCATACAACATTGTGGATAAGGCACTGCATGAAGGTAAAAATCTTTGGAGAGAGAGAGGATCAGCAATGTAGGGTATTAGGACAGACACATGACATCAACTGACCTTCAGGTAGATAATCGTTCTGTCCCTCAGCTGTATGGCACATGCAGTTGGTAAGCATTTGCCACAGCAGGAGCCAGAGACTTGTTCCATCCTGTAATTCTATAATGACAGAAAATTAATGATTTATTCAAACCTCAAAGCTAGCATAGACATTGAAATAAGATGTTAAATGGCACTAGTGTGGTAGTCTGTTAAAAACAACAATTAACTCAGGATATGATATTAAGGAGAAATTCAAGCCTGTTCTATTACTAATTTATCATTTCTTTATTTGCTATAAATAAAGAATGCCTGCCTGCCTGCCTGCCTGCCTGCCTGCCTGCCTGCCTGCCTAACTAACGAACTAACTAACTAACTAACTAACTAACTAACTAACTAACTAACTAACTAACTAACTTCTTTATAGAATAAAGCAATAAAGCAAACAAGCAAACTGTATTAACATCAATGAAACATCTCCTCTGAGGGGCAGCTGATCTCATGCAATCCCCCTTGACAACCTGGTTACCAGTTTATAGGTGATGATCAGTGCAGAGCTGCATTGTGCTAACCGTTTTGCAGTAGTAACATGAGGACCTGCCCTAAAAGTCATGGATTTGCTGTCATTTACAAATATAGAGAAGTGAATCTTCCCTTGTTGAGGGAAGGCAGATAGAAGAGAGACCAAAGTCTACTTTGATTCCTTTGTTCCCTGGCCTTTCCATCTCCATGATTTTCCCATTTGAAGGGGAAGGACTTGGCTCAAAAAGTACTTCTTCTGAATCAAATTCTTTACACCTCTACAGTTGCTGAAGGATTACAATAGTGTTTATACCTCTCTGAACCTCTGAATAAACTTTTGTGGGGCAGAAATAGGTACAAAATTGGAAATCCACAGATAACCTTAGGCTAGATGGGCAGTATACAAAGTAAGTAAGTACGGTAAGTAAGTAAGTAAGTAAGTAAGTAAGTAAGTAAGTAAGTAAGTAAGTAAGTAAGTAAGTAAGTAACTAACTAACTAACTAACTAACTAACTAACTAACTAACTAACTAACTAACTAACTAACTAACTAAATGCAGTTAATTTTTAGGATCCAATCAACTCCTTTTAGCTCAAAATACATGGTGCTTGTTATCATGAACTTTCACAGTTTGCATCTTCTAACTGGTGTGTACTATGGTTTGGAATAGACAGGAGACTTTCAAAAATCAACAGGGCTCTTAGGGTATAGCACCCTCTCTTACCTTGGGGCAAGGTTCACAGGTTTTCTTCCCACATACTAATTCATATTTCAAGTATGGTTCTCTCCCCAGGCTGCACTGACAGCTGGTGCACTGATCCAATAACATGCGTTTCCCAGGCTGAAAGATCAGAACAGGTTTGCAGTTTTGAGTGGTCACTCTTTCTCATTAGAAACATAAAAAACTACACATCTTTTTCCTCTGATGAAAACAATACACTCTGTACACACTCCCTAAAAAACGTTTATCAAAAGGTTAGACCTGAACACATCCAAACTCTCAACTCCCCATAGATGATTCTTCCAGTTCACATTGCAGCTAACTAATCGAAAGGGATTGTAAATGGCGAATGACATTTTTATGTAGCACACAGTCTTGCTGCCAGTTGGCCATGCTGTTGTTTTAACTTCACATATATTCTGGTGAGATCTCAACTAGCAGAGACTAACCAGCAAAGAAAGTACAATTACATCAGTGTGCAGCCACCATGAAAAAGGCAAATTCCAGGCTGGGGATCGTAATGGAAAAATAAAACTACAAATATCACAGTATTCTTTATGGAGCTACAAGGCACATCACATTTGGAATACTATATATAGTCCTCCCTGTTCTCAAAAAGAATATACTAGAGCTGGATTCAAACTTGTGAACCTGCTCTCTTATGAGAAACTGCTTAGGTGAATTTATGAGGACTGCTGGATAGCCCAGTGGTTTAGGTATCTGGCTGCAGAACCAGAGGTTGTGAGTTTGGTTTTCAACTAAGCTTCCTTGATGGGCTGATCCATGAAGTTCCTTCCAGCTCTGCAGTTCTAAAATCAATATTATTATTATTTGTTAAGATATTTGGAGCTGTATAGACAAGCAGAGGGAAAGGTATTTATTGCCTCCAGTATCAGAGATGGCATGTTTTTCAATATTTGCTGGGGAACATGAGTGTGGGGGGTGGTGCTATCACAGCCACATTCTACTTGTGGGCTTCCCAGAAGCTGGCAACTGAACACTTGACTAGATAGGCCTTTGGTCTGATCCAGCAGGACATTCTGTGGTAACTTGTATCTACGGATCAGGCATTCCTGGATAAGACTTTGTGATGCTTTTTTTCCTTTTTAGGTACAAATAGCTGCTTGGAGTGCATATTGGATAAAAGCAGCAACATTTGGAGAAGATTAACCCTTTCCCTATGCTGTTCTCCTTATCTAAATCAAATCCATCCTTAACCTGCAATTAGATCCTCACCAGCATATACTGTATATAAAAGTCTCCCCTCCCCTCTGCCCATCTTTCTCCTCTTGCTTTCTCTGACTTTTATTCTTCACCATGAATCTTCCCATTTTGCAGCTGAGGTTTACAAGCCAACCGTGGAGCAGAAATGTAACAGATGCCTTGCAGTCATGGAGAGGACATGCCAATTATGGCATCCCAAACGTTCTAGGCTCCTGGGATCCTGATCCACTTCACATGTCTGTAAAGCCCTGTGTTTAAGAGGGGATCACATATATGGGATTTATTGATTTCTACAGGAAGTGGAGCATTATACTGTTTTTGTATTAATAGCAATGCCTTTCCAAATTCGGTTCTACAGAAAACCTCAGATTCCCAAATCATAGTAATTGAATCCAGCAAGCTGCGATTTTAAAATTTGGAGTTCTCTTTTGTGTGTTGTGAGGATTGGGTCGCCCTAAATGCAACAAAAGTAAATCAGAATCAAATACCTGGATATCAGTAACACTGTGAGGGAGCTTGGTGGATTTTTAAAATCTTCTTAAGATCTTTTTAAACCACGTTTGTTAAATATACCTATGAAATTCTAAATGACAGTCTCATTGCCAACCCCCCTCCAGCCAACATCTGCTCACACACTGCTAGCAAATGAAACCCATAAAAGTTCGTATCAAGGCAAAGAGTGTCCATGTCTTCCTTAATCACTCTGCTCAATAAAAGCCTGGGAAACCAGATGACTTTTGCAAGGCAATTTCATTTGGTAAGTCAAGCCACCTGGTTGTAAGTTTAAAGCACTGCAAAATGAACACAGTTAAACCAAACTATGGGAGGATAAAGCTTGTAACTGGATACGAGGTGGAAATGTAATGGGATTAAGGAAAAAACAAATGGCTCCAGTAATACAGTTGCAACAGAAAACTCTGAACATGGAACCATCCAGTGGGTAAGTTAATGGGGGGCACAAAAGAGAGGCGAGGAAAGAGGAGCTGGGATTTGCCTTCAGTGGAAAATGAAATATGCACTTCAAGATGGCTTTACAAATACATTTTTTCATAACTGGGAGTTCAAAAGTGTAGCTAGCATTGTTTCCATGCAAGAGACAGAACTTACTGAACTGGGACCAAAACTTCAAGAAACACCCTAAAAATTAACCAAAACAAAACTGTGCACATACAACCTTGGAATGTTTCAAATGCCTTCTCCCCCTCCCCAAATTAATAAAATCTATACAGGAGTGTTAACTGCATGAACAGCTAGAAGTGTTAAAAATAAATTATTGATGGCTAAAATTGAACTAGAAAAGAGAGGTTCCACAATATAAACACTACTGTGCCAAAAATAGTTCGATACATTATTTCTGAATCTTTTAATTTGTTAATGATGCTGTGTGCTTTTTTCATAAGGAATAAAATGTTATTGGGTAATATATTTGATTCCTGACTCCAGACAGATGACAGCTGACAAGTAAAGCTAAAGGCAGACCCAGGGAGCTTGCGACCAGAGCTTGCAAACAGGATGCTGTGGGAGTTCGCTGTGGGAGGCCAAGGGGGAAGCCCCTAACAAAATTTTTTGGTTCCTTTGGGTATATGTACAACTACATTTAAACTAACAAAACAAGAGGGACAGGTATCCTAAACAAACAGTTGAAAGTAAAAGGCTAGAAGGGAGGGTGGAGACAATTCAGTTGTGCTTACCTGCAAAGTTTTGCCATGTTTGTCTTTGTTTATGAGTGTAAAATGCTGTATACATGCAACAAGTGTAAACTTATGCAACTTTTAGAAGAGAAAGTCTGAGACTTGGAGCAGCAAGTAGTCACACTCAAGGTTATAAAGGAAGATGAAGATAGAACTCTTGAGCAGCAGCAGCTGTCAGAGGGGGCACTGCTGATGGAAGAAAACCAAAACATTGCAGTGGAGAAAAATGCTATAGAAGCTACAAACAAATTGGAGAATCACCATAGAAAAGAATCATAGTTACTTGAAGAAAAGTCTGTCAGACAGCATGCAGAGGACAGCCCACAGGAGGACATGAGTAGGGTTGAAGTGCAGCAGAATACAGTTGCTGAACCCACACCCTACAAAAAGAAGAAGAGGAGAGTAGTTGCAGTAGGGGACTCCCTACTATGTGGAATTGAGACAGAGTTATGCCAGGAGGGTCCGTGGACTCGCCAGGTATGCTGTCTCCCTGGAGGACAGATAAAGGATGTGATGGAAGGATTGCCATCACTCATAAAACCTACAGATACATATCCCTTCCTTCTTGTCCATGTGGAAACAAGTGACACAACCAAGAAGAGCTACCAATAAATCACACCTGACTTTGAAGCTCTGGGAAGGAAACCCAAAGACTTTGAGGCCCAGATAGCTTTTTCATCCATCCTACCAGTGCTCAGAAGAGGAATAGAAAGAGAAAGGAAGATCCTCTGGGCGAATGACTAGCTACGAAGGTGGTGTCAATGAGAGGGATTTGGTTTTTGGGACCACAGGCTAAGCTTCCTGGAAGAAGGATTGCTAGCAAGAGACAGTTTGCATCTAACAAGGACTGGGAAGAATGTGTTTGGCCACAGCATGAAGAACATCAGGAGGGCTTTAAACTGAATTGGAAGGGGGAGGGAGACACAAGCCCAGAGTTAAGGGTAGATGAAGCCTTACAATAAGAGGAATGGACCAAAGTGATCAAAAAAGCAACAATAATAACATCAGCATCAATAATCACAATAATAATCATAACAATAATCATCATCATCATCATCATCATAATATTCATAAAAATGTACAAACAGGCCACAAATCACACAACCTCTGGTGTCTATATATAAATGCTAGAAGTATGGGAAACAAACAAGAAGAACTCAAAATTTTAATTCGGGAGGGTAAGTATGACTTGGTAGGAATAACTGAAACTTGGTAGGATGACTCCCATGACTGGAATTTAGCAATTGAGGGATATAAACTGATCAAAAAGAACAGAGAGAATAAAAAGGGAAGTGGAGTTGCAGTATATGTCAAAAGTGCGCATTACTGCACAGAAATACAGGAGAAGGAGATTGGCTGTCCCATCGAGAGCATCTGGATCAATCTAGCTGGGGCAAAAAAACAAAAGGATCTTGGTAGTTGGCGTCTACTACCAACCACCCAATCAAAGAGAGGAAGCAGACAAAACTTTTGAAAAACAAACTGCAGAGTTTTCAAAGAGACACGACATAGTAGTGATGGGAGATTTCAATTTTCCAGATATATGCTGAGGGGCTAAATCTGCCAAGCATGGCCCTTCCAAGAAATTCCTGGCTTGTGTGGCTGATAATTTTCTCCTACAAAAAGTGGAGGGAAAAAGTAGAGGATTTGCTATTCTTGACTTGATTCTGACCAACAGAGATGACTTGCTGGGGGAAGTGGCAGTAAGGGGAACTCCAGGTGAGAATAACCATATCCTTCTAGAATTCTTGATTTCAAAGGAAACGAAAGCAGAGTGTAGTCACACACGTCTGCTGGATTTTAAAAAAGCCAATTTTAATAATCTCAGAAGTAGGATAAGTAAGGTCCCATGACAGGAGAACCTAGCAAGAAAAGGAGTCCAAGAAGGGTGGGAGCTTCTAAAAGAAGAAATTCTAAAGGCACAATACAAAAATTCCAACAAGAAGAAAAGGTGGGAGGTGGCAAAACAGGCCAGTGTGACTTCACAAAAAGCTCAGGGAGGAGCTAAAAACAAAATAAAACAAAAGCATGTACAGGAAGTGGAAAGAAGGCCAGGCCACCAAAGATGAGTACATAAGTAGCAAGGAAATGCCCTCCATTAGGAGGGCAAAAGCTGAGAATGAGCTGAGGTTAGCTAGAGACACTAAAAGCAATAAAAAGCATTCTTCAGGTATGTGAGTAGCAAAAGACAAACAAAAGTCATAGTGGCACAGCTCCACAATGGAGATAGAAAAATCATCATCATCATTCTTTATTATGGTCACAGACCAGTGAGATTATTTAAAAAAAATACAGAACATACAGAAAAATTGCCTATATGTAGTATATAAAACCTTCTTTCAGCGTGATTTCCTCTCTAGTTCTCATAGCAATCAACAAAAATTTAGACACCCTGTCATTAATAAAAGTGGCAGGACAGTAATAAATATGTGGGGTTACTGTGCAGAGAGACACCTATTAGTGGAGAGATTAACTTCTTTCTACAATCTTCATACATTCTCCAGTGGAAAATAACATTTTCAACTGATTCAATATCCCCATTTCCACAAGGACAAGTTCAATCATTAAACGGAATTTAATTCTTATTTCAGTTCAGTTTTCCCCATAAAACAGACTATGGACTTCCAAACAAATTGGAAGTGCAAGTACGTGGGGTGAGGAGACGGGATTGCAGCTGGATATTGATAAACAAATAGTCAAGGAATACCTTACCACCTTGGACGAGTTCAAATCTCCAGGACCAGATGAGCTGCATCCGAGAGTACCGAAGGAACTGGCTGAAGAACTCTCAGAATGATAGCACTTTTCAAATATTTGAGAGGCTGTCATACAGAGGAGGGGCAAGATCTGTTCTCAATTATCCCAGAGTGCAGGACATGCAACAATGGGCTCAAAGTTAAAGGAAGCCAGATTTCGGTTGAATATCAGGAAAAACTTCCTTAACTGTTAGAGCAGTACGACAGTGGAACCAGTTACCTTGGGAGTTGGTGAGTGCTCCAACACTGGAGGCATTCAAGAAAAACTTGGATAATCCCCTGGCAAATATGCTTTGACTGTATTCCTGCGTTGAGCAGGTGGTTGGACTTGATGGCCTTCCAACTTCACTTTTCTATGATTCTATGATATGACTGTTTTGTAGTACTTGTTGGTTTTGTTACTTTTCTTATGTAGTTCTAGGAATGGTAATTGCCAAACTTAAGGGTAGATACATTTTTTAAAAGTAAATGAAGACCATTATTCCTATATGCTTTTACCTAAATCTTATCGAAATAAACAGGGTTTATTTCTGTCTAAGAAGCACATAAAATTTCAGTCGATGGATAAAATCCTGTTGTCATAAGTTACATTGCATAAGACTGATAATGTTAGCAACAGCAGTGATTTTTACTTTTTATTTTTTGTAAATTAAATATTTCTGACTTCAAGGTTTCAGTGTAATCTCTTTCATTGTCAGGATCCTGTAGAAGCCATGGAACAGCAGGGGGAAGGCTTTAATTAGCCCCACAAGCCTTTGTTGGAATGACTACAACCAGTGGTGATTTTCATTAATTAAAGACTTCTCCCTCCTGTCTTGTGGTCCCCATTACTTCCCAATGTTTAAAAGGATTAAATGGGAGCCCGGGAGCTTTGAAAGAGAAGTCAGAGATGTTTAATTTCTAAACAATTGCCACTGTTTTTTTGACTTTTTTGACTACTTTATCAGCCTTATACAGTGTAAGTTAAGGGAATAGGATTTCAGCAATAAATAATTACTATTGAGGCAATTGTAATAATTGTAATAACGATCTTTATGAATGGATGTAATTCATAAATAAAATAACACTTTTTGAATGGTGATACTGTCTTATTTTGTATTCTTTGCAAAATCCTTATCAAGCAAATATGTTTTCCATATAATATTTTCTCTACAGAAGAAAAAACATTTGTTGCTATGCTTTATTAATTTATTAAGAAAACACACATTTGCTGCAATTATAAATTGTGTAAATATTGCACAGCTGCTCAGAAAGACCTGAGGAGGAGGTGGATCTTCCCTATTTAGAGGCACATGTATCGTCTGAAGTGAGTCTTGTGGACCACATATGTTTTTATGCAGGCCTTTATTATATAATCAAGGAGCAAACACCAGAAAACATTCCCTTGACAGACACTGATGGAGCTTCAGAAAGAACATGTCTATTTCCATTTAATTTACAATCTTGATAGTTACTATAACAAAAAGCTTCCATTATGTGAGGCCCACAGAAAATTAGATTTCAGGGAAAAGCTGAAGAAGCAACAGAGGCAGAACTCATACTTTGCACATAAATTTCCTTGATTTAATCCCCACCATCTCTAGATATGGGAAGGACAGTCTCTTGTCCAAAAGCCTAGAAAGCAGCTGCTAGCCAATATACTTGTGCCGTTCATTGTATCGAGCTAAATAAGACAATGGGATGACACAGCTTCCTATGCCTTTTCCATTACTTCTACTTTTCTATATGGAATGAGTATTCAGGAAGATGAGAGTTGAAGTAGTATAGCTCAGACACAGGTTTGCTGCCTCACAAAGAGTTAGGCCTATGATTCACTAAAAGTTGAGCTGATCTTAATTTTAAAAAAATACAAAACATGGAAACATGTCATAGAGACATCCCATCATTGCAAACAGAAGACTTTTAGAGAACAGTATGCGTTATCATCTTACCCCAATAACAGTGCCATTCAAAATGCAGCCACTCACAGGTTCTGCAAAAGAAATATGCCTGTTAGCATCAACATCTTACTTACAATTACAGGGCTCTCATACTGGTATCAGAATCCTGAATAATTTAAACTATAAAATACCATGCAAGGTTAATCCTAATCTGCAATCTTTGTTAACACTTCACTTGACTGGATTATTTTGCACAGAAATGCCCTACCTCTTAAATTCTTTCATTTCTTGCTTCCCACTTAGAGACAATATGGCAAGTTGTACATCATGTATCTCCTGTAGTTAATTGTAATTTCTCTACTCTTGACTTGTGGATCACTTAAACCTAAACTAGTGTAGAGATGGTAAAGAACTGCATTTCATTCAACGATCTCAATGAAAAAAACCTATTCGGAGCCTCTGAGACTTGTTGGAAGAAGAAATGCACCTTGCCTTGAGAATTCACAGCCCTGTGTGTCTCAAAGTACGTACAAAACTATGAGCACTTTTAAAAATGGGAATGGCTGAAATGCTTACAATTTTAACAGTGTGCCCAAATATGCTTTAGTCAAGTAAAGGAACTGCATAAATTTAGCAAACTGTGTAAATAAATGCATACTGTAAGCATAATATGTAAATAAATGTGCACACTAGAAAAAATGCAGAAAACGTATATGGATTCCATTGTTGGAAGATTTGAAAAAATCTTAAACCTCAATGAAAAACAATGACATGAAAAAATGCAGTTGGCATTCAAAGAATTTCAGCAAAATCTGAGAGATTTTCACATCTGTTAGATCCTACTGTTTCACTCAGCCTTGAGAAATACCAGTTGTTACGGAAAGCTGAACTTTGCCATAGCTGGATCAGTGTTTCTTTTAGTGGTATAGGACAAAATGACAGTACTGCTCCTCCTGGCAACTACTGATTTATCATGCCCTTTCCCTAAAACTAGCTGGCTGAGATAGTTCAGTGCATTAGAGACTTGGCTGTAGAGCCAGAGGTTGGACATTTGATTCACCACTGTGCATCCCAAGATAAGAGCCAGCCTGGGTAGCATTAGGTAAGCTACACAGTCCCAGAGCGTCACCAGAAGAAGCGAATGGGAACTACTTCTGATTACCCTCTGCCAAAAAAATATAATACTTTGGAAAGGGTTGGCATATGTTGGAATCAACATAATGGCACGTAATTAATATTAATTATTATTCCCTAAAACGAGTATCTGTTCTAAGTTTCAGAACAAGTATGACTACATGGCAAGTCAAATAAAGGGGGCAGATTGCAACTACTCAACAAATATTTATTACCCAATCTATCTATTACCCAAATCAACTTCCAGATAGACACTGTGGAGCACATGCCTCCTTGCTATCAATCTTTCCTTTTTAGGCAGACATTTGGCTCAAACAGATTATAGGATGGCAAGAGGTAGGTTATTGTTGCTGTTGTTGTTGTTTAATCATTAAGTTGTGTCCGATTCTTCGTGACCCCATGGACCAGAGCACGCCAGGCCCTCCTGTCTTCCACTGCCTCCCGGAGTTGGGTCAAATTCATGCTGGTAGCTTCGGTGACACTGTCCAACTATCTCGTCCTCTGGTAGGTACAGTATTTTAACTAATCACTTCTTCATGACTTATTCTTTCTGTTTGATATGACTGTTTTAAACGAAATAAAGTTCTTCAACCACCTTATATAGCAAGAAAGGGGTTATATAAACATATAAATAATAAATACCTTCCCCTTTGCTCCAGAGTTAATATATAGTAATATGTCCTAATAACAGAGCCAAACATTGCTGCAGAGAAAACAACCTGAAACGTAATCCGGAATGGGGGGTAATGTAGTGTGAAACAATAGGAGAAACTGCAGATTGAGGAAGGATGTGTTAATCCAGTCACATGCAATTCATATATACAGATTTAGATTAAATTAATCCTACACGCTCATTCACTCACTGATACTGGGGGACACTGAAGGAGCCTCCTCGAAGAATGTGAACAGGTATTCCCTGGGCAACAACAGCACCTATAGGCTGATCCTCCCATTCCAGAAGGACCACTGTGTGATTGTACTCACTACTGGATGAGTCTGACTACATGACTTTTACAACGGCCTGCAAGCAGTCACCAATAACAAAAGGGCCCTTGTCAAGACCATAGCTAACCCTAATCTCTATTAACACAGAGGGCTTGTCAGCACCTAAAGAAGAGCTACTGCATCAGTTCTGCCAGACATACCGTTGTGATATACTTTATATTAAAAAAAGCATAGACAGCCATCACTGACACACCAGATTATGTGGCATGAGACTTGAAGCTGAGAGTATGAAAGTGCTGTATATGTAAATCCTGGCCTCCAAATATCATCTACTGCTTTCATAGAACAGGATGATATAAAAATAATAACAGGGAGCTAAGTAATTGCATGGTGGCCTCCATTTATAAATCACCTAATACAATTTTTTCCTTTAAAATCCTGACTAATTTTTGGAGAGGAGGTGGGGCCAAGATGGATGGAGTTCCCTCCCAATTGTAACTGCTGATGGAAGTTTTGTAGGCTTGAGATAGCCTAATCAAATTTTCCAGGAGAGGAAAATATATCTGAAGAAAAGCACCATCTGAGAAGGTGGGGGGAGCCCTGGGCTACCTCCCTAACCCAGAAGTCAGGCATTCTCTTTGGCAGGACTCCGTACAGGTCTGAAAAACTGACGCAGTCCAGAGGGCTGGAGGAGAATGGATACACAGCTATATCCCAGATTTACAGACACCACTGTAAGCAAATTTATTTTCATTACTACATTTGATCTGAACACTTGGAAATCTACTGTGATAAATGAAGATAGGCGGGAGTAGTAGGCTGTAAGACTAAATATTGAAAGCATTCAGAAGCAGACAGCTGAAGAGGATGGGAGGGAACACAGAAGTTCATTAAAAGAGACTTTTAGCCTGATGAATTGCTGAACTATCTCTCTGCAAAGTTCCCCCTTAGAGATCTGCTGGATATTATTAAATGTTATTGAACAGTCTCACAACTCTAATCATTTAGATTGTGCGTACACCCATCTTATTTATGCCTGAAGAAACTGGTACAAAAATGAAAGTAGAAAATGGAGGCTGCTCATAAACGAAGTGACACCTCTGTGGATTACAAAAGGGAATAGATGGGATTCTATTTTTCTTCTTGATTTTATTTGTTTTGTTGAGCATGGTTGGGTGAGGTGTTGGAAAAGCAGTTTTGGGGGGATTATTATTTTAATTTCCCTGCTGTTCCTGAAACTCCATGGTGACACTGGAAGAGACAAGGAGCTTCTCTTCCGCTTTATCTCATCTTATCTTTTTCTACTCAAAGTCTGGAAAGGTGTCCAAAACTCTGAACTAGTTGACTTTTGTCTCTCTCTTTTTCCTTTGTCAAATCTAGACATAAATAGCTCCCTTGAAGTGGAGTAATATTAACTACACTTATATTCAGGATATATTCTCCCCATTTGAGGTGGCCAAGGAAAGTTTCCCCTCTTCATTAATAACACTGACCCTTTGTTTGAGTCAGTGTATATTGGGTGATCCCTATTTGTTGGTTGCTTCATCTCTGTTTCTTGGTTGCTCTCATATCTTTCTGTATTTCCATATCTCTAATGTACTAGATTACTTAAGTCTATATAAGAAGGGAGGAAAAAAAACAGGTATTAGTGGAAAACATTGGAGAACTGTCATATAAAGGGTCTTTTTTGAAAATACAAAAATGGCTGCAAAACCTAAGGTGGAGAAAGGAAGTCCATCACCAGAAACTAGACCACGGAGGCTGATGCAAGAAACCCAGTCTTCTTCATTAACAAAAGAATATTTTGAGAAGCTCATGAACATCATGCTTAGCCAACAGACAGCCCATTTGATAGAAAGTTTGATGAAAATAAGTCTGATATTTCAGCCCTGAAAATTAAAGTGACCAATCTTTGCAAACAACAGGAGGACATGAATTTACAATTGGGGCAAATGAAAGAGGACATGACACAGAAAAGTTGAAACCAGATGAAACCAACATGAAACACCAATGACTCAAATCCAGACGGAGAATGTATCGTATATGCTCAGAATACTGAACGTACCAGAAACTCAAAATGAAGACTTCTTAGAAGCTACAACTGATTTACTATCAGATTGGGCAAATTGTGAGAAGGATGAAATTAAGTGGAATATAGATGCGGCCAAAAGAACATCCTCAGTATTTATTTTTTTAAAAAATCATCTCCCAAGAGAGGTACAAATTAGATTCATTAAAACCACATATAGAGATGAAATTCAGAAAGCAACGCAAGATAAGCAATATATAAGAGAAGGAAGAAATCTGAAGATATTGAAACATATCCCTTGGGAAATAAGAAATAAAAGGAAAATATATGAGAATGGATAAAGACTATCAGTTACATAATCAATAATTAAAATAACAATGTATCTGTCTGAATTTGATTTTTCCCTCTCACTCACTGTTTATATTTCCTTCTGATATGTGGAACTATTACTAGAAAAGAATGTGTAGAATTACTATGAAAAATATTGATCTCTAATGTATCCGTTCAAATCCACCCCTTCCGAGGGTAACCCTATCCCAGCTGCCCCTTACCTTATCCTACCTTTACAAGGAAAATAAAAAAATGTTTTAAAGGGGAAAAAAATCCTGGCTAATTTTCATAAGCAAGAAATAAATTTTATAACCAGAGACTTCAATTAGCACAGCAGCGTCAGGAGATATACATTCATTGATAACAATGGGAAAGCTGTGCTAAAATGGGTAGAAATTGGTCCTTATTCATAATAGCAAACTTCCTCCATCTTTCTATAGTGGAAAATAGCAATGTGGCTATATTTGGGCTTGATATTTGCTATCACTTAACAAGGAGGGAAGTCAGTCTGTACCTAAATTCCAAATATGCAGCACCAGCCCACAATGTGCCAATTCATGGCAGTGGTCCCACCATCAACAGTACTGTTCTGCAGAATATATAATTTTTTATAAAGCTGATTGGCAGAAATGCACTACGACATTGGATGGAATCATATCAAAATGCAAGCTCTTCCTGTTGGGCAACACCATGCCTTACCACAACGACATGAAGGACAACAGCCAGTCTTTCGGTCACAGCGCAGTTCTGTTCCAAATGGGCAGCTAGGGGGGCCCATCTGTGTACATGAGACATTCCTTGTTTGAATAAAGACTTCCTCATTTACCCGGACACATTCTTTGATGATGCAGGGATTTGATGGAGATTGCCACTCAGACCCAACCTAGGAACAAAAGATAGGAAAGGACTGTGTGGAATGAAAGCTGATTCCCTCTTTTTAAGTGTTGTAGGCAGATGACATCCCTTTGCACTCCAGCACTATGCTCCAGAAGAACACTATCATCCTCTCCTCCATCTACTGCAGAGTTTACTATATCCAGCAAAATGATTAGAATAGTGATCCTTTCACAAGGTCACTGCATCAACTACTGCAGAAGATATCAAATCTGTGAACACCACCATTTTCCAGAGCTTTTAAAATAATGCATTTATTTATTCAACTTTTATACTGCCCATCTGGCGGAAGGCTGTTCTGGGCCATTTACATCATAGGAAGACAACAATTAAACATCATAAGACATTATTAACTACATACTGTAGCTAAAACTTCAAAATAATCATAAAATAAAAATACAATACATTTTAAAATGCATTTTAAAATACTAATACATACAAAAGATCAGAAGCAGTAAGGTATTTATTTAATTCAAAGGCAATATATTTTAATCCAAAAAGATTTCTCCAAGCAATATCGTAATATTCTATAGTAGGCTTTGTAATCTGCACTGTCTGGGTTCATATAGAATACTGGTTTGTTGGACTTCTAGCTTTACTATTGTATGCTTCTATTACTATTCTATGATTCAATAATTTTCTCCCTGGATCCAATTTGGAAATTTTGTTGTTTTTGTCCAGTAGATTTCATTGATTTTTGAGCTACCTGGAGAACAGAAGTAGTTAATGGAATGACAAACTGAACATGGATGAAATAATTAAAGATGTTGTTCAGCCAGAATTAAGCATTTAAAACTTCCAATGAGTTCAGTGGCACATATAAGTGCCTGACTAGCTACATTACACTTAACCAAATATGGTACTACAGAATCATAGAATTGAAAATGATGTTGTAGGCCATTTAATCCGATATCTCATAGACAAGAGTGGGCAAAGTCTGAGAGCTTGGCACCAAAATTCAAGCCAACTACTAGGATATGCCCAGACAGCACTTTCAGTCCCACCCACTTTCAGGGGACTGGGTGGGAAGTCTTGGGAACCATCCCCAAAGCCCTGGAGAACATTGCTGTCCCAAAGTCTTTGTTTGGGCAAAAAATAAACCATTTAAAAAATATTTTGGAAGTTCTAGTGAACCTGTGGAGGCCTCAAAAATACTGCTGGGGCATATCAGCCATTGCTATAGTAGATCGCTCAGGCCCATAATTTATAATCAGTGTTTGAGATGGCAACGTAATACTGGATATCATTGCTATGAAAAAGCTTTCCTATTAGAACATGTGAATTGCTTCTAACTGGAACATGAAAATACAATGTACAATTCAAAATGTAAAGAACAATTTAGTAAAAAGAAACCAAACATTTTAGTGGTGGCAATTTTCGATAATAAAAAGATGTCCTTATCCTGACTCATTGCTCCAGCAGCTTCCAAACAATGACTGAAATCCAACAGTAAATTACAATTTGATGAGGCCCATTGAATAAATGGGGATTTGGTAACTCATCTCCTTCATAAATTCCATTTATTCAATGGGCCTACCCTAGTTGTGACTTACTACTAGATTTCAGCCAATGAAACAGATGACATGGGAGCTATTAGTCCTGCAGAAATAAGAAATGTTTAATTTCCAAAAAAAATCATCCCTGCTGATGATATCATTAGATTTCCATGGCTGTAGTTGTGCAAATAGAATTTCAGCAGTCATGTAAAATCCTCCTTGGTCCCTTTTTAAGGGGAAAGGCAGTGTAAAAATATTTTAAATAAAATAGAATCAATCAATCAATTAATCAAACTTTAGATTATAAAAGTTCAACATAATAAGGCCAATTTTGTTATAGTATAGCAAACTATAACATTTCCACTTTCTAGTGATCCAACCTTATCTATCTGGGATAAAAATTTAGCAAGTGAATACTCCACAGAATGATGAGAAAAATCTGTCCATTTAACTTCCTCCCATATTTGAAATTTTCTTCTATGTCAAGTTATTTTCCATTCCAGAGATCGTGCTGTGTGTGTGTGTGTACTCATCCATTCCAGAGATCGTGCTGTGTGTGTGTGTGTACACATTCTTATAGTAACTAATTAAAAGCAAATTCTCCTCCAACTTTTCACTCTACAGTGTTGCATCCATCCACAACAGTAAATGCAGTAATAACTGCTATTGGCAGTAGTAACAAACTAAAAGGCTGCTGAGTGGGGTTTTTTAAATGAGCTGTAGTACTTTAGTACATTGAATGTATTTTGGTGTTGTTGTTTTTTTGTACTGTATTCATTGATCCTTTTAGTATTATACAGTCATGTGAAAAAGGAAGTACACCCTCCCTGAATTCTGCGCCTTTACATATCAGGACATAATAGAAATAATATGGTCCACAGCAAGTCTGGAAATTAGATAAATACAACCTCAGATGAACAACAATGCACATTACATTGTGCCATGATTTATTTAACAAAAATAAAGCCAAAATGGCGAAGCCATGTGTGAAAAACTAAGTACACCCTTACTGCTTCCATAGGTATTAAGAGAATAAGTAGTGTAACTGATCATCAGCAAGTTTGACCACCTGTATAAAAGCCGAAGTTTTAGCAACTTGCTGGTCTGGAGCATTCAGGCATGGGTTAACACAATGCCAAGGAGGAAGCAATGATCATAGAGAAGCAATTGTTGCTGGCCATCAATTTGGGAAGGACTATAAGGTCATTTCCAAACAATTTAAAGCCTATCATTCTACAGTGAGGAAGATTATGTATGGAAAACATTCAAGACAGTTGCCAGTCTTCCCAGGAGTGGACATCCAAGCAAATTCACCCAAGATCAGACCATACAATGCTCAGAGAAACTGCAAAAACCCCAAGAGTTACAGCTCAGACTCTACAGGGCTCAGCTAACATGTGAAATAATAAAGTTCATGACAGAACAATTAGAAAATGATTGAAGTATAGTTTGTTTGAAAGAGTTGCCAGGAGAAATCCTCTTCTCTCTAAAAAGAACAGGGCAGCATGGTTTAGGTTTGTAAAGCTGCATCTGGACAAACCACAAGACTTCTGCAACTATGTCCTTTGGACAGACGAGTCTAAAGTGGAGCTCTTTGGCCATAATGCACAGCGCCACGTTTGGTGAAACCCAAACACAGCAAATCAGCACAAATGCCTCATAATAACTGTGAAGCACAATGGTGGATAGGTGGTTATTTGAGTTTCTTTTGCAGCCATGGGACCCAGGCATCTTGCAGTCATTGAGTTAGCTATGAACTCCTCTGTAAGTATTCTAGAGTGAAATGTGAGGCCATTTGTTTGACAGCTAAAGCTTGGCCAAAATTGAATCATGCAACAGGACAATGATCCCAAGCACAACAGCAAATCTACAACAGAATGACTGAAAAAGAAAAGAATCAAGGTGTTGTAATGGCCCAGTCAAAGACAGAAATATTTCGGCAGAATGTATTCGCGAAGGCTTTCACGGCTGGGATCTAATGGTTGTTGTGGTCTGCTCTGGTGTACAAATCAGAGAGTGCTGTCCTCTGAAGATGCCGGCCACAGAGACTGGTGAAACGTTAGGAAGAACAACCTTCAGAACACAGCCAAAGAGCCCAAAAAACCCACAACAACCATTTTGGCAGAACCTTAAGAGAGCTATGCATAAACAAATGCCGCAAACCTCAATAAACTGAAGCAACATTGTAAAGAAAAGTGGACCAAAATTCCTCCACAATATGGGAGACTGATAAAGTCATGCAGAATTGAATTACTTCAAATTATTCTTGCTACAAGCTATTGAATCAAAAGACATGGTTTTTCACACATGGCCTCTCCATTTTGGCTTTATTTTTATAAAATAAATCATGACACTGTGTGATATGGCATGTGTTGCTGAGGTTATATTTAACTAATTTTCAGACCTGATAAGGATCAGATGATTTTTATAATGGCCTGATATATAAAACCATAGAATTCAAAGAGAGCGTACTTTCTTTTCACATGACTGTATACTCATTGTTACTAACTTAAATACTGTCTTTAAATGATTTCAAACTACCTTGTGTTCCTTTTAGGGAGAAAGGTGGGCTAAACAAACAAACAAACAAACAAATAAACAAACAAACAAATAAACAAATAAATATATAAGAAGGGTAACATGCAGCCCCCAGGTGCCTCACACCCTAAACTTCGAAATATCCCCTTCTGCCCTTTATTGCAATAGGCTTTTACAAATTACAATCAAGCCTTGACTTACAGACATTTCAACTTACAAACTGCTCTGATATGAAAATATGGATTCGACTTGCAAACTCGGATTTGAGTTACGAACGGGGAAAAAAGTGCGGGGAAGGCAGGGAAAGTGGGAAATTTGATTGTTTGGGTTAAACCAGTGGTTCTTAACCTTTGTTACTCGGATGCTTTTGAACTGCAACTCCCAGAAACCCCAGTCAGGACAGCTGGTGGTGAAGGCTTCTGGGAGTTGCAGTCCAAAACTCCTGAGTAACCCCAGGTTAAAACCAGTGGGTTAAACAGTGCTTGGGTAAAAGGGAGCCCGTTTTGAATTAAAACCTGCTTGGGTAAAAACATGCTTGGTTGCTTTAAAAGCTGCTTGTTTTGATTTAAAAGGTGCTTAGTTGAAAAGGTGCCTGTTTTGGTGTAAAAGGTGCTTGATTTAAAAAGTGTTCTTTTTAAACAGTGTTTGTTCCCTCTGTGGTTTCCTTTCTTTTTTTTAACCTATGCCATCTTAGGTTTTTAAAGAAAGGAAAAAATTCTGCCCCTAGTGGTAGGAACGGATTAACCAGCTTTGCATTAGTTCCTATGGGAACCAATGCTTCGACTTACAAACTGCCCCTCGACCTAAGAACCAAAAACAGCCAGAAGGGGTTAATGGGTTTTCAGTGCATTCTTATGGGAAATGCTGATCTGAGTCACGAGCTTTTCAACTTAACGAACGTCCTTCCGGAACGGATTAAGTTCGTAAGTTGAGGGTTGACTGTACGAGTCTCCCAGCATCTTTGGCACTCCACCTCAATTTTAAAAAATATTTTGTCCACTATAAAATGTATGGTAACTTTTCCAGCTCAAAAAAAATCTACCCACTTAAAAAAAAAACAGTTTTGGAATGGAGGTTGTGATGTGGTCCACCAAATCCGGGGATGGGTAACTATAACCTTCTGCCCCAGACTTCTCTAGATTGCCCAACTCTGATATAAAGAATGGTGTGCCTTTCTTCTTCCACCCATCCAGGGAAAAAAATGAATTGTGCTTCCTACAGAAGAAGGAAAAATAATCATCATTTATAACTAAGGCTTACTTCATGCCAGCGGACATCTTCATCTCCTCGAGCCCATAATACTGGCTCATCACACATAGTTTTGAGACATTTCCCACAGCAGGCCCCTTCTTTATTGACGTACTTAAATCCCTGTGAGGAGGGAAAAAAAGTAATTTGCATTAGATTGCAGACTTTCCCACCGGTGATGCAGATATGTTTGGGGGAGAGAAATTAACCAGGTGCTGGCTAGAAGGGAAGATGGCATTGCAAATCAGCAAAAAAGTATTCTATAAGAGAGAACTACTAAGCGGCTAGAGCAAATGAAACAAAACACCTCTGCCTAAATCTAGTCAACTTTTTACAATTTTGTTGAGTCCTCACTATGCAATGGTCATGCCTGCAGGGCTCTTGAATAGTTGGGAGAGATATTCCAAGGCATTAGTGTGGCATGGTGAACAGCTGGCCTGAGATGATGTGGCAAATTAACAATACAGCAAAAGAGTAAAGGTATATATGTTGCCACTCGTAGGTTTCGCCAACTTCCCACTTGATTCGCCCTAATTAGGGATAGTGCACATTTGCAGGAAAGCCACCCCCTTTCCCCTGCTAGGTTGAGAGGATGGGCTGGAAGGAGATACGCAAAAAGGAGATCGTTTTCCAAAAAGTTACAGGCTGGATAATTCAAAATGCTTTTTCTTTGCAGAGGATCTTGAAATGGAAAGGTTGTGCTGGAAGTCAACTGATCTAGTCAAGAGCCTGTAGCTGTAGGGAAGTGGGCAGTAAAAGGCAGCCCAGAATCACAGGTTTAAGGAACAGGTTTAAGGGAGAGACTTCTGTCCCTTTTGACTTGGATTTTTCAGAATCACTGATTGAATGAAGGTGGCAGTGTTTTTCACTTTCTCTGGAAGTTCTTCCTGGAGGGTTTCCTCCCAGCATTGCTGTACACTTGTCACCATCAAGCTTACAGTTACATCCTGACACACATTTTATGGTCAAAATGTTTCTTTCTCTTGTATAGTTTACCCAATTACAGATGTTCCTGTGACATCAATATCTAAAGCTGGTCATACAAACAACATGAAGATCGCTATCTGCAGGATTTGTGGGAGAAAAATAATAATACTCATCCCAGGATGTAAGAGTTTATGTAATTTTTCTGTACTTGAACAGGTGACTTGGGAGCAATAACAAGCGGCAGCTGCAGAGAGACTCATGTTCTGTAATACTAACTCTTTTGCTTCACACTGCCAAAAAAAAAAAGAAAAAGGAAATGCAATCCACTAAATATTAAGATAGAGCATTTCTCTGCATTTGCTTTTTCACATCCTTGGGTGAAGTTCTCCTCCATGTTCTTTCAGAAATACTAATCGTTTAGATAGAGCTTTGGAATAGCAGCAGTCTTATTACACAACCATAATCAGAGGGAGCCCATCATTACCTTATTGTTTTCCTTTCCACCAACTAATGCATTCAAGCTCCTACTGTTTTTATGGCTTTGTCTGAACTATTCATATCATTTTTATCATTCTACATTCTTATGTAGAATTTCATATGTCTTTCATAATTAGGCAAGCCAGCTAAGGAATGTCGCACTGTCTACGCATGCATGACTTTGTTTTGAATCATGAAGTCCTTTAGCAACAAATAGGATACAAGGGATTAAGCAAGCTACTGTTCCTTCACACTTGGGTTCCCCTCCATAATAATGGGATAGTGTTACTTTTGTCTTAAAGAGAACTGGGAAAATGTACATCAGGTGCTCTGTGCACTTGAAATGTGATAGATTCAAGTTTTGGAACATGGATGACTCTTAGTTACTTCATGTGCTAATACCTTTCCTTCAGTTCTGAAAGTATCTTACTTCTTAACCTTCTAGATATTTTATTTAAGAATTACATTTGTTAATTACCTTCAATGCTTGCCTTCCTTAAAAGGCCTTTCTTTTCATCTTTATTGTATCTAGTGATAGGACCCTTTACATTCATGCTCAACATCTGGGAAAAGACAAATCTTTGCCACTTCAAAGAAAGCTGTCAATCTGAAATATTACCAATTAAATGCCTTGATTTCTTGGTCAACCTTCTTTACACTAATAATATATCACATCCCAATACAAGTGAGACAAATGTTCTGGTTTCCAACACAGCTGCTCAAAGGCCTGGAAAATTCTTTATGACCAATTTATATGTGATCAGCCAATTCACTATGTTTGAACTGTACATAACTGAAAATCGGGAATAAGCTATTTATAATGCCACAATACTGCATGGAGAATTCTTATATATCATTTATGCAATTTCACTACTCTCGGGAAGTAAGAATTTTAAAATTAATTAGGAAATAAGTTTTTCATTCCTTTGTAAGGTAAGATTTAAAGCTGCCATCCCCTTTACACATTATTTTTTTTAAAAAAAATATATGAATTCAGTACTAGTTTTGCACAGAAATTATTGGAGAAGAAGAATCTGTCCAGGATGCAAGAGACAGCTACTCTTCTTCCTAATGGCTGACTTTGCAGGTCCAGCAGGTAAGATTCAGAAGATTTCGGTGAAGTATTCTATGTAGGGACGTGTAAGAAATTCAATCCATTAAGTGTTTTTTTTTTAAGTGGCTAATTCAGTCTGTACTTTAGGGGTAAACATGGAAATGGATACAAATTGTGGTGAGAAATATGCACAAATCAGGGTTTGTGATGCATTCGCAAGAAGGAAAGAAAGTGACAAAACATAAACTTATTAAAATGTGTAAACATATAGTGTACATTTCTAGTATTTGTACTAGAAATTTTAGTTACTGTGCACATGTATCAATTTCAAAAACACAGATAAAATATGTACTACAAAACAAAATGCCAAACAAAAAATCCACATGGATTAAACATGGGGTGAGAAAAATCAGTTATTTCTGCTCCAATGTTTTATGGATATGAAGCAGGGGTAAATCTTGTGTTAGACACCCAGTGTGGTGTAGTGGACAGAGTACTGCACTAGGACTCAGGAGACATGAGTTTGATTTCCCCACCTCTTCCATGGACACTCAGTGGGAGTGTGGGAGTGGTAAAAACACTCCTTAACTACCTTGAAAAGACTATTAGGGTCAGTGTAGGTCAGTTCTGACTGGACGGCATATAATAAATATTTGTTATATCACAGTTCTTTCTAAGCAATTCTCACTATTGCATTTGTACTCTCTCTGGTCACTATGATTAAAATCTCCCCATCCATAAGAGTTTATATAGAACCTGAGATCCATCACTTGTACTGGGATTGAAATAATACACTACACACAAGTGAATCTCCCTGTCTATGCCAGGATGCTTTTCACATCTAACCAGCTACTACTTATTGAAAGGATGATTGTTTAGATAATCATAATCTTTTGCACTTTCCCTCACATCCATCTCCTGTGCCATCTCTGGTGTTGATCTCTGCCAAGATAGGTAGGGCTCCGTGTAGCTAAAGGTGTGCTTTTATGTTCACAAAAGCTTAAGCCCAATAAAATGAGTTAGTCTTTCAGGTGCTTCAAGACCATTTGCTATTAGGACTAAATAGTTTGCCACTGATCTGCAGATGCCCCTAATGCCACCTCCCCCATGCTATTGTACTATCATCTGAAGAAACTAGAAAAGAAGCTACGGTTGCCATAGCAATTCTTCTATTTTCTAACAGAAAATAGAAGTCCGTTTAATAAGAACATGGTACCAAGATATGTGTTCCCAAAACTAACCCAAATATCTCACTATGATTCATCCACAACCACCCGGCTCCCTTTCAAACACTTTACAGTTGGACCATACAAAGCCATTACCTGTCATGCTGTGAACTAATCAAATAACAATTTTACCACAGGTTCAGTGTTTCCTGTCATACCGAAATTATATTATTTGATCTTCTGCTTGGAAAACAAAACTCTGTGCAGAGATTTCATGATTCATAGTGGTGGACTGGATGAACTGTTGGGCCGGGACTCAAGACACCAGGGTTCAAATCCTCACTCAGCTATGGAAAGTCCCCAGAGGAATGGCAGCAGGAAACTACCCTTTGAATATATCACACATGTCCAAAATTCTATTAGAGTAACCAGAAATCAGAAGTGACTTGAAGACACATAATAACAACAACAAATGGTTTAGCAAGAGAAACAGAGAACAAAAATTTAGCTAAGCTTTAAACCACTGAGAAAAACATTTGTGTACAAATCATCAGCAAATACAAATTCTGCTCTGCTTTTAATGCTTTACAAAATACATGAGGGAAGGTTCTTAGAATTACTAAAACACTGATCCTTGTAAGGATATCTACGTTCTTCCTAGTATTTCCAATCTAAAAGTTATAGACAATTTCCACAACTGAAAAGAATACACACACTCCATCTGTAAACACACCTGGGTTTGGGAAACTTTTTTCTCTCTCTCTCAGAATTTCCTTTGCAATACTTCTCAGGCTGCATTTTAACTACTCTAGAGTTTTTTAAAAAAACTGTTTTGAGTCTTAGAATAGAAATTGTTTGAAAATGGAAACAAAGAAGTGGGATAATTTGCAATCATATGTGGCAATTTTTTGTTTAAGCAATTCCCTTGCAACATGCCTTCCTTTTAAGAAAACAAAAAATTCAGTGGAGCTTTAATAAGCTGTTTGGTGGTTCCATAAGGTAAGATTTTGAAACTCTAAGTGACATATTTCCAACTCAGTTCAGGTGCAAAAATGAGTTGCCTGTGTAAGCCTGTATTACTACATTTTCTTGGCAGACGGACTGCATTCAAGATTGTTTCTAAAGAAGCTTTTACTACCTGCTAGTGGAACACACAACGTCACAGAGACTGGGGTGGTGGTGAGAAAATGACCATAAATGGCCTTGGTTGGCCTCAAACACAGCAACAGAAGCCAGAGGTATAATTGGTTTATTAATATTAGTCAAGCAATAGGTGTCAGATTTTACAACCTGTCCAGTAGCTTTTAATATAACTCTGGTGTATGATGTGGTAAGAAATTTGTTTTATTATACAACTGAGAAAAATGTGCAGGCCTATTTCCTCTTCTTCAGATGAGTCTGAAGAGGGATGAAAGCATGGGACTAAAAGAGTTTCAGGTTAACAGGAGACTATGAAGGAAAGCTTCCCACAACCAACCAGGCCAGTTGGTCTGAACCTGAAGAACCTACAGCAGCTATACTCTCTGATGGCAAACAAAGGGCTCTACCCCCTCCCCTCTTCACCATTTGGCAGCTAAAATCTGGTTTAAGGTAAAGGTAAAGGTTCCCCTTGACAATTTTTGTCCAGTCATGTTCGACTCTAGGGGGCGGTGCTCATCCCCGTTTCCAAGCCATAGAGCCAGCGTTTGTCCGAAGACAATCTTCCGTGGTCACGTGGCCAGCGCAACGAGACACGGAACGCTGTTACCTTCCCACCGAGGTGGTCCCTATTGATCTACTCGCATTTCCTTGCTTTTGAACCGCTAGGTTGGCGGGAGCTGGGACAAGCGATGGGCGTGCACTCTGTCAGGTGGATTTGATCTTACAGCTGAAGATTTACAGACCTTACAGCACAGAGGCTTCTGTGGTTTAATGCACAGTGCCACCACATCCCTATTTAAAGTGGTTTAAAAAGCATTACATGGCTGAAATAGTAGAAAGTCACAATCAGAGTACACCAATTGAATCAGTGGCCATTTGGTGAGTAAACTCCTTTGTACGTTCCATTGATTTAATGGACCTATTCTAGCTACAATTTACTGCTGGATTTCAGCATTTGTTCCTTTAAAGACAGGCATGGGCTGCCTTTAAAAAAAAAGAGACCTGACAAACTGATTTGCGGTTTGTCAGTTCACTGCCAGGAAATGTGTTGTTCCAAACCAAGACAAACCAGCACTTTGGTAGTTCTTCCCTATCTCTAGTCAGATGACATCGAGGAGCATGGCCCTTCCTTGACACCACAGTGGGAGGGGCAGTCTGTGATAGCATCACTTCTGGTCAGCTGAGCTGGGATGTTGGTTCACCCATGTGGCATCTTTCAAAACAGATAGAGTGCTTATGAATTCCTGATTGTGCTGTGCAACTTATTTGAGGGTTGGCTTCCTCTCGGACACATCCTTCTCCAACTGTGAATGTTGATGAGGTCCTTACTCAGCTAAACATCTGAAAGTAAAGTCCTGAAGTCACATCATAGAATTGGAGTTGGCTTCACTTCCTCCGGCATTTTTCATGACCAGTAAAAAGAAGGAAGTGGTGTGGGGGGGAGGCTTAAAATTCCAGTTGTCTCTGATACTATTTTCAGAGATGACAAAAAGGCAGAATTCTCCATTCATACCCAATTGAGAGTATAAGTGGTGCATGGGGGGAAGCCTGATGTAATAAAGGGAAGGCCCCATTTGTGGCTCACTACTTCATAGGTGAGAAGACAAGGGGTGCAAAGGAGTGTCTCATCATAAAAAGCTGGCAAATGGGTTTCCTGAAAACATTTGACAGATGGGGAACTTCTGCAGGCCACGTTTTTTAGATTGGTGGGGAGAATATGTGGATAAAAGTAATTTTCTTAGTTTCATCTGCACAGCCCCCCACCCCAAAATGCAGTAATACTTCTGAATTGCCAATCAGGGCTAGCCAGGGCGTTGGTGGCATAGGAGGCTTTGGTGGGAAGTTAAAAGCAAATAGGTATAAGAAAACAGACCAGACAAGTTTCAGGAAGAATTAGGAATGAGCAAAATAAAAAGGAGGAGACATTAAAATGTTGGTCTTCTAGGTCAACCAGCAGTTTCTTTCTTTTCCCATTTTAGGGCTGATGGGGCTAAATTTTCCGTGCCATTAAAGACATGCTACACACTTGAGCCTTCCTTTTCTTTTTAGGGCTGTTGGGAGGTGGGATTTCCCAAGCTCCTTCTCCTGGTTTGTGTCCAGTCTCTCAAGTGCCTAAGAGAAGATGTGGTGGGACACACAGGAGAACACAGGGAGGCAGGTAGGTGGGCAGTAGTGAGAAGGAGGAGTAAGGCTGGGTGCCATGCAATACTGAAAAGGGATAAGGTTGGGTGCCACCAACGGTACCACCACCAGCTTGTTCAGTCGAACAACACCCTCACACCAGCATCTGGCCCTCTCCACCAGCACTGCAGTCAGCCTGCTCAGCTGGGGAGAAGCACAGAGAAATGATTTGACTGCTTGGGCTCTCAGTCATACCTGAGAAGCAATGGAGGAAGGAAGAACTTTTAATTTAGCTTTTAAAATATAGGTTTAAAAAAAGGTAATTCTGTTCAGAACAGACCAAAAGAAAGCAACCCTTACTTTCAGAAGGGGACAAAATGTCCTAGATTCTGTCACTGAAAATACCAAATTAAGCCATTCGGAGGATGATTTTTGTTTACAGTCTGTTGCAAACTGTTGCTTCTCCAAAAGCATAAAGGTCACAGAAGTGAAAGCCAGAAAACAAAAAAAGAAGAATACTGTCCCTTTCTTGAAGACAAAAGAATGGTTAGACTGGAAGAAGAAGGATTGTCATCAGTATTTGAAACAAATCTGGTAGTAGTAGCATGTAAGGAACAGCACCTAAAGTGATGAACACAGTGCCATCCAAAGAAGTATTGCTGTTCGGAGAAATATTTGGAGAAAGTTTTACATACCGGAGAACAAATCTTGTTGCACTCCTTGTCAACACATTCTTTCATTCGAAGTCCTGTAACAGCATCTTCCATGTCGGTGCAGGAACATTCTGTGCAGCCTTCTTCCCATGTCTTCCCAATAGGATACACAATATTTTGACTGACACAAACCTGCCAACAATTAAAGTGTGACAGCTATTAAACAGAGAACTGCACACTGCACATCAAATGACTGTTGTCTGAACAGAGTTTAGAAAGCTATTTTTAAGAGTACAGAAATATGCTGGAATCTTGGACTTTGATGCTGAAAGTGACCATTCTCCACCATCCTAGAGCATGATATCCCAATTTTTCCAATTTAAGAGTTAACCCAAGTACAGATGGATTTATATGTTGAGTGCCTATGTACTGGGAGGGAATGGCACTAAACTGACCCAGTCCAGTGTGGGTAGTTCTAACAGTTCTATATTGCAGACCAACGTTCCCTCTAAGCTGCATGCATATGCAAGGCTCCATCGAGTTTGCATGTGTTTAGTTCCAGTTTCAGCTGTAACCCCACCTCCATGTGCACACACAAGGTGAGGCTCCCACACAGCAGGGCCAAAAGAGTGAGGGAACGCTGCTGCAGACTGAGTCAGAAAACCTCAGTATATGAAAAAGTTGTACAATCCTCACATTTTCATAGGTAACTATAATTGGGAATCAGCAATCCCTACCGCTTCCAAACAAACATTAGACAGACATTAAGTGGTTCTGAACTTGATGCCCCAAGATTGAGAGATGGTAAAGTTGAGGCATGCAGGCACAATTGTGATCCACCCACCCACATGCACAAATTCTGCACTGGTAGCACCCCAGTCACTAAGATCAAGGATGGGAGTGGCCTGAGATGTGCATGGACTTGATGGGAGCCTTGCCAAAAATGGCAGGGATTCTCTAAGGAAAGGAAAGGTGTTTCACTCTTTTTACCTTGTCTGGAATGCAAGTGGTAGAAACACAGCCACACTCATTGGTAGTATATGTTGGCAAATATCCAGTTGGGCAGGCCTCTATTGAATTGTTACAGCTACAAGTGCACTCATATTCATCACAGCACTGAGTCTTCTTCAAAGTGAGTTTCTGGTGTGGTGAGCAAGAAAGAATGGGTGGTGGACTGCATGCCTCCTTCTTGCAGACTGTAAAAACCATCAAGAAAGAGAAGGTGGTATGAAACACAATAAACAGGTGCTAAAGGATTCAATCTAGTTTGCAAAAAGCAGCCAAGGAAGATAAGCAGATGGCTCATATCACATATCCAGTTTTAGCACACACCTACTGTGTATATTTGTATGCATTCACATGCATGTGTGAACACACACACACACACACACACACAGAGAGAGAGAGAGAGAGAGAGAGAGAGAGATGTAGGAGTTAAGTAAGTAAATCTGGTACTTGAAGGAATTTTACCACATGCATAATCTGGTCTGCATTTTCCAGGATTTGTCTGCAAAAGCTGGAGACCATCTTCACAGTGAGGTACAGGAGGAAGGGTACATGTAATCAGATCACAGACTAAACAAAAAGGAAAGAAACAAAAAGAAGAAGAACAGTTAATTTATTCTCTTCTTTTCCACCTTTTCACTGTACTTTTTCTTTCTTTTTATTATACTGGACAACAAGTGGATCAGCAATAAAATGTTGTCAGCTAGATTGCTGTTGTTCAGTGTTCCACGAATGGAACAAAAACAAACAAACAAACAAACTTATTTATTGTTTGTTTGTTTGTTTGTTGGATTTGTATCTTGCTTCCATTAGTATCACAACACTACTCTGAGTGGGTTACAACATGTAAAACAGAAAACAATAAAAGAGAGACATTAAAACCAACAATAATAACCATTTAAAAAAAACAGATGGCACCAACTAATACTAGAGTGGATGGAAGAAAAGAGACAAGGGAAGAAAAGGCAGGGGAAGGTGGTCAGCTGGGGTTGGTGAGATAAGGCTTCCTGAAAAGCAATGTCTTTAATTGCTTCCAAAAAGTCAACAGTGAGGGGGCTAGGGCAGAGCTACACTGGAGCTGGTTCCATCAAGTTGGAGGTAGCAAAACTATGACGGTGATCTCCAACAGAAACATACCACATTCGTAGACTGGACAGCACTGATCAGAGTCCTTCCGTAATCTTGGAACTTCACAAGGACCACAAACAGCAGCTATTATTGGAGGGGGGGGGAGAGAAGCAAACCACATTTATTAACATGTAAAACAAGAATAGCCCATTGCTGAGTATTGCCAAGGTCAGGCTCTCTATTTTAAAAACAAAGCAAAATTGCAAACTAGTAGTAAGACTTTCACATATTATACAAAAGACATGTACTAATAAGATATGTAGTCACTGCCAAGGAGAAGGGGAGGAATCAATGTGCTTCTTGATAGATGCTGGATAGCTCAGTGGCTTAGGCATCTGGCTGAGCCAGAGGTTGGGAGTTCAATTCCCCACTGTGTCTCCTTGACAGGGGCTGAATTTAATGATCCATAGGGTTCCTTCCAGCTCTGCAGTTCTAAGATGATAATGACCTATTCAACTGGCAAGCAGGCAGTGACCTTTTTGTGCTTTGTCTTACCCCTCAAAGGATGTTACAGGTACCATTAGCTACACTGTAGCATTTAAATCTTGCCAATGAGCAAAAGGTGGCAGACATGGCTCTCCACCTCCCCACTTCATCCTTTCAATGAACCTATGAAGTAGGCCACATTGATAGAGTATATACTGACCCAAGGTTACACACTGTGTTTCACAGCTGAGCAGAGTGTTGGTCTTGGATCCCCCAACTCTCCAACCACTACACCACACTCTCAGTAACAAACACACACTGAGCGTCTTATTGCTTTGCACCTGAAACTGGGAGGAACATCCATTTTCCTACAGCCACATTGCAGTCAAGCCATGGGGTTATGGGAAAGAACAGAGGCCATGCCAGACGTATGACTGAACTCGTGAAATAAGAAAGGAAAGACATTTTGTAGGTCTTTATAAGAAAGAAAAAAAATCCTGGGCTTACGTTTGGCCTCTGGACAAGACTGAAGCGTGCAGTTTATGGTCCTGTGATCTAGGCACATGCAGATCTTGCAGGGTTCTTTGGGAGGAATCCACACATCCAGGTGCTAAGCAAGAAGAACACAATGCTTCAGAAAGAGAAATCCTCTGAACGCTTGGTATGCAAGCTGGGCAGGATGGGCAGGGGGTGGGGGTGGATTAGGAGATGAAACTAACAGAGCAAACACACCAAACACCACATGCGGTATCGTTTTGGATTGCCATAATAATTCCAAAACCCAGAGATATTAGAGTTAATACATTTAGCACAAGATGAAAATAACATTGAAGAACAGTACATTGCTGTTTTTCAAAATTTATGAGCACAGTTCTAAAATACTGCAAGGAATACAAGGCATTATAGGGAACCATTAGCTGAACAAACCATACGAACTATTGACTTAATGGACAGAAGTAATGTAAGCCAAGTAAAGCAGGTCTTTAGTTTCAGTGTGTGGAATGTTTCGAATTATTCATTGGTCATGCGTTTCAGAACAAAGGCATGCCAGCCTATAACCAAATTTCTTGTCTAGCAAACGACCGGAACACTTTTCTGTTCTGCATAGAATGATGACAAAGAGACACCCTGGATCACATAACACAAGTCTTTGATAATGTTGCTAAAAGTCTATAAAGATATTTGTAGACAGAAATTGATAATATGGGGTCCAACATATGAAGAAAAAGAAATCTGTTTAACTGTCTAATCCTAAACATGTTTACCAGCTAAATCTTATTATTTTCCATGAGATTCATAAATATGCCTAGGGTTCTTGGGCAGGATTCTGACAAAGTCTTCATACACTACCATGATCTAGAGTTCTGTGGTTGCTCTGATGTGCAACTTCATACAGAAATTTAGACAGAGGAAGTTTATAACAAAAATGAAGGGAAATATAATGTTAGAAAAAGGTTTCCCATGAAGCTTATTGACAGCAGGTTCAGAAGTCAAACCAAAAAGAACCTTTATTTACACACAATACCTGACTGACTCACAGAATTTTCTGACACAAGATGTAGTGATAGCCACTGCTCATGTTGAATAACTCAGTTAAGTACTGTTTTCAATTTAGCTAAACTGAACTTTCACTTTTTGGACAGCCATTATTTTTGAAAAACAGATGCTGGATGTAGATAACATTTTTTTCCCCTTATGACTACTTAATAGCTTCGTGGAGGCATTCAGTGGCTGCTAATGGGTGTGTGTGTGTCTGCAGGTGCAGGAAACTAATATATCAATCCAACATCCATGCAACTAGATTTTTGTTAATTTAGTGGTAAGTGACATAGCACTGAATTGGCTTGCCACCTGAGTGTCACAGCACAGATTTCCAAGAAAATGAAAGGGAGACTCCCACCTCGCATCTTCTCCTGCAACCCCTTCCACAGAGGAGAAGGAGAAAGTTAGATTCAAAAATATATATATTAGGAAGGGGCATAGCACTGAACTGGCTTTCCTACTCAAGTGACATGAAACAGCTGTCACTTTGGTTCAATACTGGCAATCACACATGCCTGAAACTGAACTCAAATAGAGCAATCTTGCCAGTGATCCAAAAAAGTGTGAAAACCATAGGAAAGAGTTGGGCAGGTTCATGATTGCCTGTATGCTGTTGTCACTTTGGTTCAATACTGGCAATCACACATGCCTGAAACTGAACTCAAATAGAGCAATCTTGCCAGTGATCCAAAAAAGTGTGAAAACCATGGGAAATGATTGCCTGTATGCTGAGTAGCCACTGTAAATTTGATCAAACCTGACCTTGGCAAAAGTGGTCTAAAATGAGATATAAATTGGTGTCCGATTGTACCCAATGTGAATCTCAAGCCAATGTTACATAGAACTCTGTTCTCCTAATTCAAGAGCTGTACAAAAAGATACACTATGGTGATCATTAAAATATTATTTTAACTCTCCATCTACATATGAGATTCAGCTTCCTAGACAGGTTTAAACAATTTTGTGTCAGTATTCCTAACTGCACAATCAAGTGTTTCTCAAACATGATGAGGTGTGAATTGCCATGTGATGTTTGAAATCATGCCCCTACCCCAAAGCTAGTGAACAATCAAAAATAATATTCTTCCAGCTATGGAGTTAATTCTTCCCCTTAGAAACTGGAAAAAGCATGCACGGAAGGTGATGGGGCAATGCAACTCTGTAAAACATTATTTGAAATTCTTTAATTATTCTTCAGATCTTTAATGAGCCCTAGTACCTCTTCTTCCATTAGTTGCAAGAAAGGAGAAAATGGGGGGGGGGGATCACAGTATTTTATGTACCTTCATAACAGACAAATTGCTCACTTAGCATCACTAAAAATATTACTGCACACAGATGAATCAGATGAATGTTTTTTAGTTTAATGGTATTGCTTGTACAAATTCTATGACATTTAGAGACCCAAAAATAGAATAGTAATATAAATGACCCTGCACAGAGAAAGACAAGTTTGCTTCACTATATGACTCTACCGATTGAACTATTATTTGTGCTTATCTCTGTACAGCATCATTTTGCTCCACTTTATCACTTGTCTTAAATAAGCCTGTTTATCTTTTCAGTGCTGTCAAGCTGATTCTGACTTATGACAACTGTAGTAGTTATGAGAGTGGTTTTACCATTGCCACCATCCATTGAGTTTTCATGGCCTCCTGGGGATTTGAATCTAGGTCTCCTGGGTGCTAGTCCAATACTACACTACCCTGCTAAAATTAGCAGGGAATCCAATTTTTTATTCAGTGTGCTGTACTTCCTAACTTTGTAATAGAAAAATATATGCTTTGTTTGAAAATGACTGATGTTTTGTTTTAACAGCTTTGGTGAATTCTAACTAACTTTTGAAATTAGTCTATACTGGCAAGGTCCCAACATCATACCTGTAGCAGTCTCAAGAATCTATGCACATAATGCAAAAATGCAGGGAGTTAGAAGTTAAGGATAGAACAAGCAGAGGCAGGGTGAGCAGACTTTTCTGTGAGTGGCTTCTGTTGGTTCACAGGACCATTTCACATTTTATGTTTTATCTAGTTTGTGTGGCAAACAAGTATGCTGACTGTGAGCTTCATTCATTCAGCAGAACTAAGCACTGAGTTGAGAAGTACCTGGTGACGTGTCCCATCTTCACTGACACACTGAGTGCACACCTCTTCATGAACACAGCTGCCATTTAAAATAACTTGTCCTTGTGGGCAGAAGCAACCTTCCATAGGATAATCCATGCAGACTTCAGTGTTGTTGTCATTCTCACAATGCTTTGTGCAGCCACTTTGACAGTGGTTGTATGACAAAGAGGGTGGACATCTCATAGCTGTTAAGAACAGGGAGAACAAGAAAATAAATGAATTTTTAGTAAATAGAAGGTTAAAAGATTTTGCCCATAGCAGACGTAAGATCAGCATGTGAATAGAAATACATCATCCTGAATGTTTGGAGTAGGATGGGGGGAAATCTAAGATAATGAACAACATAAAAACACACATATATAACAGGTTCATATTAGAGATGGACATGAATTAAAAATGAATTGCAAAATACATCAAAAATAGCTAATTTGTCAATTCATATTTGTCAGAAGAATTTTTATTGATTTTTGATTTATTGAGTCGTTGGTCTATAAAATGGCCCCCAGGAACCTAGAAACATCAGAATCACAGAGATGCTTCCCCTGACCCTCCTCTGAAACTCAAACTTTACCAGACATGTGGTGATTGTAGAGCAGTCAGGGGAAGCTACTCTGTGATTTTGGTGTCTCGAGTACGTATCCGTAAAAAATACTTCTGCTCTGAAACTTTGATGCTGCTCTGGGGCTGTATTATGAGTGCTGAACTGTGCTGGATGCTACATGTCAGTGATGAGTGACTTTGTATCCACTCTGACAAGGATACTGGTGGAAAATAGACTGATTAAAATTCCAGATGTCCCTGCATCTGCTTAATGGACCAGTTCATTTAAAATGAAGTTCATAATGTTCTTGCCACTTGCCTACCTAGTATTATTCTTGTCAAAACACTGAATTGTTTTTGATATCGTAGTACAATTTAAAAGAAGAAATGAAATAAGAGGAATGTGCACACTTTTCAAAGACTGATGATTTCCATGCTTCCTCCTTTTCCCTCTTTTTTTTAAATAGCTGTTCTGTCTTAACCATGGCATTGCTAATCAGGCTTTGTAAACAATCAACTCAATTCAGCTTTAACTTTGTTTATCTGCCCTCTACATCTTGTGAAGGAGAACAAGAAAACACTAACGTCACATCACCGTTTTAAAAACTGTATTACTCCTAAGTAACATGTATTTCCACAGTATAGGCCCTGTGCACCAAGTGAACTCTTTTGCCTTTTTCCTCCTTGGACTGCAAATGGATGCCCTTGCTATTTCTCGCCACAGACATTCATCCCTGGTCCATGGACATTCATCTCTAGGGATAACTGTTCACATTCATTTCTAGGGATAACTAACCAGTCATAGATTAATTTATTTTTAGTTTCAAAAGGCATTCTCCTTGCCTCAGACAGTGAGGTCATTATATGAGATGACAAGATTTTTGTAAACAGTATCAGCATTTACCTAAAAGAAAATGCCAAACCACCTCATAGCACCTTAAAGCATAACATATTTTATCATGGCATATGTTTCCACAGACTATAACACACTTCATCTAATACATAACCCTTGTATTTCCCAATGTGACAAAGGGCATCATTTGCTAGCAGTGCGCTGCTGTATTTTCCATAGAACAGGTTATTTTCTATAGAAAAAGATAAAATGTAACAAATATGATACAAATCATGACAATACTGGAAAAAAGTTGGGGTGGGGGAGACAACTTCATTGTCCCAAGACTTTCTGTCTCACATGTCACAATAATATTTGTTAGCCTTGAAGGTGCTGTAGAAAACAGAATCAAGACGAAAAATGACCATAACAGACTGCAGAACAGATTTTACCTCAAAATCAGGTAAAAATGTAAAACAGTTTCTAAAAATGTAAAACAGGTGAAATAGTTAAAAGTTCTACATTAGATAAGGCAAATTAGATGCATAAATATAGGGTGAGTAACAGCTAGTTTGGCAGCAGTACCTCTGAAATGAACCCAAGAACTTAATATATCACAGGCTAATCATAAGCGAACAGTAGAGATGGGCGCAAACCAGAAAAATTGTGGTTCGTGGTGGTTTGTAGCTATGCATGAACCACAAACTTTCTGAACTTTTTTCAAAAAAAGGACCACAAACCAGTTTTTTTAAGTTCATGACTGGGGGGTGGGAGAGGAAAACTAAACCCTCCACCCCTTCTGCTACCCGCCTGCCCCCTTCACACTGCCCCTGTAGCCTCCCTACCTTGTGCTGCCACCTGCATGTCTTCCTCCTCCACCCAACGTTCCCTCTAATTATCCGGAGCACTGCACAAAGCCATGCCTTACATGTGTGGGGATCCAGCTGGGAGTGGAAGCAAATGGGCAGCCCTGATCTAGTGCTGAGTAGCCCCAATCCAGTGCTGACAAGCATGTGCATGTGTAGAGATAGTCACTGTGTGTAATGGGTATGTTGATAGATTGGACCCTTTCATTTACAGTATCTAACCAATTTTACACCCACAATACTTCACTTTCTTTTCCATTGCAGGTTGCTGCTTCTCTAGAATTCATATTCTAGAAGTGATTATTTTTTGCAGTATTTACAATAAAAGAAACATACAAAATATTTGTACAAATAAGAATACAACTATTACTTTTGAGGACACACTGTTTTCAAAACAAAATTACAGAAAACTGGGAGAAAGATTTCACAATCTCACTAGAATTGGGGTTGGTTGACCAAGGGCGCTGAATGAAAACAGATTTCGAGTGACAGAAGTACACCATCTCAAAATCCCTGATTAACATGTTAAATTCACTACAAGAGATGCGACTGTTTATGGTAGCTTTAAAAATAATGAGACAAATCTGAGAAATATACAGATCTGCCAGTCCCTGTGGTCCTCAGCAGCATAATCCTCAGAGTAAGGGGGAGAAAACCCAGTGATTGTACAAGCTTCCTATCATGGGCCAATAAAAAGGATTTGGCTGAAAGAACAAGTTCCACTTACAAAACCCCTAACTCTTTGGACAGATTTGTACTGCTACTAAGAGGATCCACAGGCAGCAGAACACAGGAATTCAATCTAACCCTAGTTAAGGCAATCAAATTTTGAGTGTCCACCAGCAATATTCCTCCTACTTAGAAGGAAGAAATTCTCTGGCTCCTAACAGTGCTGGTTATGACCTGCAAGGCCGTATATGGCTTGAGTCCTTCCAAATCATTAAAAGTAACTTATCTTCCCATATCAGCCACATGGATTTGAAGATGTGTAAGGAGACCCTTCTATAATCCCACCAATTCTCATCAGCACAGCTGATTGAAGATAGGAGAAAAGTGAAGACTGTGGAACTCCTTTCTACAAAAGATCAGTCCACCCTCCTCCCTGCTATATTTCTACAAGCAAGAAAATACCTTTCTGTTCAGTGGAGCCTTTGTTAACTGAATTCACTCAAGAGAAAGATGTTAAGGGTGAATGCTGTTCTCTACCTTTCTTTGATATTATATTTTAAACTGCTTTAAATTAAATGTTGTTTTTAACAGTATAATATATTCCATTGTGTATTTTAACTTACTGTATTTTTAACTACACTGATTTTTAAAGTCATTTTGTAAGCTTCCTTAGGTTCTGCACTGGGAGAAAGTTCAGATGCAAACCTTTCCTTGCCACCTAAATCCAAGGAAGCTGTTTCAGCTCTAAATCATTGTTTGGTATCAGTAATGGACTGGATGAGGGTGGATAAATTGAAACCTAATCAAGATAGATCAAGGAATAGGGATGCAGCCTGTACTGGATAGGGTTACACTCCCTCTGAAAACACAGGTCCTGGATTCATCTCTGAGCCTGGATTGCCCAGGCTTTGGCAGTGGCCAGGATTGCATTTGCACAATTAAAACTAGTACACCAGCTACATCCATTTCTGGAGAGATTTGATCTGGCCACTGTCATACATGCCCTAGTTACTTCCCAGCTGGATTACTGTAATTCGCTCTATGCGGGACAGCTGATGGAAAGGGTGAGAAAAGTTCAGTAGGTCCAAAATGCAGCAGCCAGATTGCTGACTGGGGCTAGCTACAGGGATCACCTAACTCACCTGTTACAGCAGCTCCACTGGCAGAAAATCAGTTTCCAGGCACAATTCAAAGTGCTGGTTTTAACCAATAAAGCCCTCAATGACCTGGGTCCAAGCTATCTTGAAGTCGGAGTCTCCCACTAAGAGCCAGCTCAGGTGTAAAGATCATCAGGTTTTCTCTCAGTCCCACCCCCTCACAGGTGCATCTGATGGGGACACAGGAGAGGGCCTTCTCTGTTGTTGCTCCCAGACTTTGGAACGCCCTCCCACAGGAGGCCAGACTGGCTCCATCTTTGCTGTCCTTTCACAAGCAGGCAAAGACCTTTCTCGTCAGTCATGCTTCCCTCAATGACTGCCTACATGAGCGACTGGCCACATGGCTGGCTACATGATTGAACTTCAAATTGATTGTTAGGCATTACTGCTCTGACTGGGTCTTTTGTACTACTTGTGTTTACAAGTTTACAAGTTCTGTTCCATTTTAGTATTTGCATATTTATTGTTTTAGCTTTAGTACTGTCTTTTAATTATGTAAACTTCTTCTTTATACTCATTGTTCTTAGCTTTCAATGTTGTCTTTTAATTATGTAAATGTTGTATCCCTTCCAACTCAAATATTCTATGATTCTATGACCAGTTGGCCAGGTAAGGACTAAAGGCAAAGTCTGGTCACTTCAGAAGTTTTGTGCCACCAGCCACTGCAGCAGCTGATGTTGCATGTTCCTGTTGCATTCTCTTTCAGAAGATAGTTTTGAGGCTTAAGCACACACAGCCCCATATTCAGCCCATGAGGATTCTGGTTCAACCTCAAGTTTCCCGGACATCAGAACTCCCACAGGAATGTTGTAAATCCTTTGCCTTATGAATAAGGATAGTTGCCAGCCAACATTTTTCATTTGCCTACCACTTCTTTAAGGAAGATTTTGTATCACTGGCTTACAATGATATGACATCAATAGTAGCACTGCTTTCCCTCAACATGGCTTTGAGCTCCACAAAGAATTAAATTACAGCTTCAGGAATGAACCAGTTCCCAAAATGAGACTTACATAAATAGGTTCAATTAGGCTCTGTAAATCTATACATACGTTTTTATTAGTTTGCAATGTTACAGTGATTAAGCAATGCTGTCTATTGGGTCATTAATGTATTCTGTACAATGTCCCAGGAACTGACAATGCTATTTCTGGCCACCGTAAGACATGCACCTGCTCATAAGAAAACGGAAAAGAAGATGCCATTGTTAATACACCAAAGACTGCTTTATGTGAACTGGTAGTTAAATTGGGGAGCTCTTTGGCTGTTCAAGTCTACTATGTCACAAGTTGGGAATCCAAGGAATTCAGAGAGGTTATTAAAATGCCTGAAGTCTTGGATGCTGTGACGGGAAAGCTGGCTCTCTCACCAAATCCAGGAAATGGCAGGCAGAGCTCTCTCTCTCTCTCTCTCTCTCTCTCTCTTCTCAAATGATTCCTCATGGAGTATTTTCAGTGTGCCATTTCTTAAAGTATTGGTCTCCAACAACAGCATTCTCTCACAACATCCTGCACAGTTCTCTAAAACCTAAAATCTATTTCATTTTGACAATGTTCCGCTCAATATTGAGGAACATGGGAAATTCCTTTTAGGTGGTGCTTTTGCTGGCAAGACTTGGTCACAGGATTTTTAAAAAAGAAAATCAAAGGAACAGTCTTTGTTTCCTCCTTCCAAGGGGACAGAGCTGTAGAGTAAGTTATTTAAGAGAAACCTCACTTTCCATTAGGTATACACTAGAGATGGGAATGATTTGCCATTTTGGTGAGTCATCCTGCTTCGTGATTTGTCAAAAGTTGACAAGTCATGAAGGTTCCCCCCCCCCCATGAACACATGAAGCACAAATTTATTAGTTGATTTGTGTGGGGGAGGGTTACAAAAAAACCCTGAACCCCCCCCCCACTGTGCCACACACCCCACTGTGCTGGCTACCAACACCCCCCTGCGCCAATGGGGGGGGTGGGTGGGTGCCTATCGGCCCGCCGATCAGGTGATCGGCAGGCCCACAGGCAGAATAGGAAAGCCATAGGACGAGAGGGAATGCTAGTCTTCCCTCTCTTCGTATGGGGGATGAATAAAAATAGGAAAATATTCATCCTTTCATATTTTTCAAGGTCTCTGGAACCCACGAATATGAAGGTATGAATAGTTAACGAATCAGCAATTCCTAACAAATATTGCAATCTTTTTTTTATTCATCCCCATGTCTAGTACACACATATGTATTGATTTTAGGACAAAGAGATTTTGAAGCCAGAACATAAGACCCTTGTAAGAGTTCATCTTGTCCAGCATCCTGTTTCTAAAAATGATGAACCGGATACTTTTGAAGGAAGCATAGAGTCAAGCACAGACAAATCCTAGACCTTCCTGTTTGCTCTGAGGGTCTGATATCCAGGAGCCTAGTGCCTCTGAATACAGAGATGTGATAAAGCTCCCGGTCTAAGATCCGTATCAGACACACATGAGCAAAGTTGACCAGCTTTCCCAAACTATATTCACATCTACAAGCATTAACTTATCGACAGCCTTGGAATATAGACCATAGTTATCTACTATTAGCTGGCAATGATACATTTCCCCCCCAAAATAATTCCAATTGTCTCTACTGGTGGTCAAGAAAAAAAAACTTACTATCCTGTCCCTTCAATGGTGACAAAAAAGCTAGCTGAGGAAATATGAGACAATACAAGGATTGAGCTAAATTTAAAAAGATCACATTCCTAAAAGAAGCCATGAAATCCTTACCACAGAAATCCAGAGATCTCCAGTCTACACAGATCCCCTGTGTTCTGCAAAGGTGGACATAGGATGATATAATCTCACATACTTCATCCCCGTAGCAGTTGTTTTCTTCACAGGCAGCATAGAATATATTTGGAGAAATGACTTGGTGGCATTCATAAAACTGAGGAGACAGCAAAATGCTGCACTTGGTAGTGGCATGCTCAACACATCTGTCAGCTCTGTTCACCTCACAGAACTTCCCTGGCTGCTTCACTGTCCATTCTTGGATGAAGATGCTGCTGTCAGAAGTTATGGAGCCATCCTTCAATACAAAATCATTGCCACTGTTTTGGTCACACACTCCTGAGGAAAGGGACAGAAGGGGGGAGGGAAATAAGTTTGAAATACATCAAAGAAAAAAGACTGGAAACACTTTCTAAGCTTTCCAAATTTATTTTACCTCCCTGTAAAAATTCCTATAGCTGTTTCACCATTTCACAATCATCCAAATTTGTTTCCAATTTTACTTTGGATGAAATTTAGTACCAACTGAGATGTTCCCTTTTCTCCTGAGAAATACTATAAATGAGACTGAAACAGATATTTCACCTGAACCAGTTCCTTCATCTCTACCAATCCTTTCTCCTCACACCAGCTTCTTGTAATGGGGGAAATTTTTCCCCAGATACAGACAGCAACCATGGATGGGGGGGAAAGGACTCATAACCTTTATTTTCTTAGAAGCAGTTCAAATCCAGGTATCCCCCTTGCACGTACTATTTACTTTTAAAAACTCGTGGTATTTGATTTTTGTCACTCCCATTTCTACTTGGGAATCCAGCCTGCTGTTATTAGCATAGGCCTGCCCTTTCATCTGCAGGGATCATATACAGTATCTTTATATGAGCCTCAGGATCTTTTAATATCTTTGAGAGAGGCCATCCTTTCAGTCTCAGTACCCTCACAGACCTGCTTGGTTCTGATACAAGACAAGGCCTTTTCAGTGGCTGCTCCCACACTGTAGAACCCCCTTTCATGGAAGACCAGGCTGGACTCTTCCCTGGTGTTCGTTTGCCATCTTTCTTTTTAAGCAAGCTTTTCAGAAGTAAATAGCTGCTAAGAAAGGAGTTTTAATACGGGAGTTGTATTTTTTATCTTTTCAAATGTATGCATAAATTGTTCTAAAGCGCGTTTTTCAGTATTTTTTAACGTTTAAGACATAATTTTTCATACTGCAAAACAAGGTATTTTAGCTGTTTTAATACTTATTATCTAAAAAATTCTTCATAAGCTAACTTTGGTCCCTCTGTCGGGGAAAAGGCAGGGTACAAATGAAATAAAATAAAATAAATTACCTCCCCCTCCCTCAGTCTTCGATTCTGGGTTTATGTATTTTAGTTACAAAACAGCGAACCATATTCTTTCACAGAGAAAAAGAACTATCCCATTTCCTGATGTGCAGAGTTATATCACAGTACATCACATGTACTGTCATAGCAGTTGTCATCCCGCATACACAATCCATTTCAGGGTAGAGGGGAGCTAATATTATGATTTAGTTGAAATTTTTAACTCCAGCTATTGCTCACTTTCTTCTCACTCTGCTTTTACTTTACTCTGTCCTCAGCTACAGAAAAACCTTAATGGCAACAAGAAAGCACATAACATGTACATCTTACCTGTAATGAACTCAGTGTGAAAGCCTTCATTTATTTATGATCTATTACCTCACATCTTAGTTATAGTAGGAATAGATGTATTGAGCTAACTGTCACTCAAAAAAACCACAACACTTTTTCTGTATATTTTTAACATACCACAAAGACCGAATGTTCTTGAGGCAAAACTCTTTGGGCTAAGTTGGAAAGTAAATTCATTGCTGCTTGGAGTGAAGGAGAAGATGTGTCCCAGCTGAGAGAACCGGATTTCATGCATTATTGCTCCATAGGCATTTACTTCCATATTGCTGTCAGTGTAAGGAACAGCAACTGTTTTGCCGTTTACAGCAACCTATTTAGAAAAGATGAATGTACTTTTATTCACTGATCAGCAAAAATGAGAACAGCAGCAGCTAAGCAAGCAAACACTGAAAAAACAGAAATCTGTAGACTTGGCTAAAATTGCATTTAGGCTCACAGAGGGATGTCATCATGTAAAGGAGGCCGGCTATCAGCCAAATAAATAGCTAAACAGAATGCAGAGCATCATACTTATGATTGATTCTTTCAATCCCCTTCATGCACTGCTTAACTTGTCTAGGCATTTGGACAGTGGCTGATGGAAACAAAATGCTGAACTAAACTGATCTTTGGTTGGATCCATCAAAATATTCTGTATAGCCTTAAGACTAATTGTCATGCCCTAAACAGCTCAGCCAAGAGCCTAAGGAGCACCTAAACATAAAAGGTTGCTACACTCCTCCAATTAAAGCATAGGCATGAAAAAAGCCATTCATAATAATAGATTTTGATTCAATGTCAATTGGCTATAAATACATAGTAACACACTTCACAAATGGAGAGGGAACATGGGAGGGGAAACCATTTTATGACTTCCCCTTCCCTATTTTAGGTTCAGAGGGGTCTTTTTTCAAAACAAGAAATGTCCTGGCATAATTGCCCCCTGGTCTTCCTAGAAGGCATGGGATACCCTTTTACACCAAAAAATGTGCAGGGGTTAAGACAGCCCTCTGTGAATCAGGTGTGTGAATACTCTCTGGAAGCTGCCAACTTCTGTACTTGCTAGAACATTGCGAATGTTGAGAAAGCTAGAACTTTGAACTTTGTTCTTACATAGCTACGTGCATGTTTTTGAGAACAGAGGACCAGCAGATAGCCAAAAAAAAAAAGCAGTGCTTGTTTCTCAAGCGTGCACACACACACACACACACAAACCTGACAGTGAAGATGGGCAACTGATTTTGTGGATGGCATTAAATCAGCATTGGGTCTTAGTCTGAACTTCACAGGAGCTCTCCAAAGTGCTGAAAACTCTCCACAAAACAGATTCAGAACCTTGGATAACCCTGGCAAGGTCACTAAAACTCAGATATGTTCCTGTGATTGGTACCCCTCAAGGCTATTAGCTCCAGGAGTGTGGCCTGGCCCCGTCCCTGTGAATATTCAGGAGACAACTGAAAATGTGGTTTTCAGGGAGGTTCCACATAATGACGCCAGCTGACTGCCTTTGGTTCGCCACTTTTCTGCCTTATTGTTCTAGCACCATCAGTCTTTATGGGTTAATTATTAAAGTGGTTTTAAACAGTTTTATTTTTGTTTTCAGTTTGTTTTGTTTATTATTGTAAACTGCCTAGAGTAGTGCTTTGGCACTAATGGGAGTACTATACAAATATAAGTAATATTAAATAAATAATATTAATTTTAACCAGTTGCACAGATTCTCCCCATTCCCCCCAGCAAAAATGCATCTTCAAACCACTTGTCTAGCCCCCTGTCATGCATACAGGCCAACTTAGCAATGAGACATTTATATTGATTCATCCTACATAAAGTGATCATTGTTGCCCTCTGACAAATAATCAAATTAAAATAATATATACCCAGCTCTTTGCTTGACCTACCACTATATTTATTTTCTCTAGAATGGCTTACCATCATGTCACTGGATAGCTGAACTGATGAGCCTTTATATATGGCTTCAATGGTGTTCATGCAGTTGAATCTTGGCGTTGAACTGCAGGGCCCATTGTGAAGAACCACTTCAATATCATGTTCTTTGTCTTCAAACAATGTATAGGAACAATTCCCTGTGAGTTTAAAGTCCATGCCATCAAAGGTGACAATGTGTCTGCTTGAGCTTCCCATGCAAGAGCCTGTCAAGTGATAATTAAATGAACAATTACCATTAGAGGACTTAATTGTTTTGTTAAGCATATGTTGCTTCAACAGATACAAAGCAACAGGGGGACTAGACTAGCGGGACTGCATGGCAGCCATGGAGAAGGCACAATGTATGGGGCACTTGGGGTCTAGAAGACCCACCTAAAGGCAGCTTTAATGTATGAACAAAAAGGACAGTAACACTCCAGTGCAACGTTAGTATTCATAATGATGTCTTTGGAATGCTCACTTATTTGTACTGCAGTGTGATGCTGTGTTCCTCCTTCCCTCCCTTCCCTCTCTAATTAGCTCAGTACCTCCATGTTGGCTGGTTTAACCACAAATGCCAGGCCACCACACGTGTGCATAATGATTTCCTGAGAAGGCCAAGAGAAAAGCTTCCAGACAGGACATCTTGGTGAAAACCATTATATTTGAACATATAGGTTCCCTCACCAACCAGGAAGGATCCACCATTTTACTAATAAGAAAGGGCAGCCATCCATGGTTAATGGCATAGCTTGAAATATTATTTTAAACACATTTTTTTTCATTAAGTAGTGATATAAAAATGTGATTTATTTAGGAAGAATTGTTTAAAGCCTCTTGCATTTTTTAAAAGAAACCATATTAATAGAGAAAATGGTACAGTATATGACTGTGGTAATGAACTCTACATGTGCTCAGAAACTTTAGCTGGGCCAGATTGCTCCACCCAGATTGTTGAGCAGAGCTGGTTATAGTGAATATATGACTTACTTCTTATAACAGCTTCATCTGAAAGAAGTATGTTCTAGGCACAATTCAGAATGCTGGTTATGGCCTATTAAGCTCTCTATAATTAACACCAGATTATATGAAACATTGTGTTGGTGGGAATGCAACACAGGGGGTCTTCTTACGGACTGCTTCCAGCTTTGGAATGTGGCAAGAGAGGTCAATTTGCTTCTCTCTTGGATATCTTGGATATCTTTCTACCACCACGGATACACACTTGTATTCAGACTTTCTTCTTCTTTTTAAGCTGACTTGTTTGCTGACATAAGTCCTCATTGGGTGGGTGCTGTTTATTCCTTAATATTCTCAATATGTTTTAATTGTGCTTGTAATAAATTTGTTTATATGTTTCCATGATAACTATGAAGTGTATGTTAAATTTTACTCTAGCTGTTTTGAGCAAAATTTGGTGAAAGTTGAAATATAAATTTAATAAATTGTAGCTTTAATAACTTCAATAAAGGAATATTTCCCTTCTGCTCCACATTCCCTTTCTGAAGATAATTCTAGGGTAGCCCAGCAGAGCTACCTGCATCTTCCTCTCCTCACCCAAAACTTCCTCAGGTTTTGTGGGAAAGATGGAAGAAAGGGCTGCAAGGCCCTCAATCTAGACAAAACTTCTCAGCCGATAGGCAGTGAGGAGCATTCCTTACCTCTTCCCTCAGAAACCTGAGGCAGGCAGAGAACTAGTTATAGAAAAGCATGTGTCATCTTCTCATTGGTGCGCACAAGATACATCCTTGATGAGAGAAGTACAAGAGCAGAGTGCAGAAAGAACGGGAAATCTTCATCTCTTTCCCTCCCCAGACTATCAAACCTGATAGTCCTTGTGCTAAAAATAATACAGACTATGTGATCTAAGACAAAGACATGTAGGGAAGTATGGAAGCAAACCAGCTGCCTTATTACCTTCTAGGCTACAGAAGCAATTTTTAACCCTATCCAGAAATAACCCTTAAAATGGAAAATGTTGTGTTCAAGCAACCTCTGTTATTGACAGATGCATTTCTCTTAAACACATGTGATAAAACCCCATCATTTCAGTAAGCTTGCTCATATTATTGCAAAAAAGAGACCAAGGAATCAAGTATCCCTCTAACTTCAGCATTTACTTTTAGCTTTTGGAGCAAATACAGTATACTATCCCTCGACATTAAACTCTTTCAAATACCATTGAATTCTATCTAAGTTTCCCACTGACATAAGTGTTATCTACAGTTAGATTGTGCCTGTAATATTTGTTGTTTCATGTGCCATCAAGTTGGAACTTTTCTAGTAACCCTAACAGGGTTGTGAAGGAAAATGATTTTGAAATAATAAAGCATGGCTTTGCCACTTCCACTCCCCAAGTGAGTTTCCATGGGCACGTGGGAATTAGAACCCACATCTCTTTTTTTAAAAATATTTTATTAATAATAATAAGTTAGATTCTTATTATAGTCACATAACAAAAAAGGAAAAAATAATAATTACCTATATAGTTACACTTCCAATAATTTTCTTACCTATAGTATACTAATAATATTTAAAAATTTATACAGTATATGTTCTACTTCTAACCCTACAGTTATTCAAACTAACCAGCTTTTCAGCCCATTTTCCAATTGGTCTCCTGCACCAGAGGCCAAGAAGGGATTCCATACTTCCATAAATTTATCTTGTTTTATTTCACCTCTATAGAGTTCAATACAATAGGTCAGTTTGTCCATCAGAGCCAGTCTCCATATTCAATTGTGAAATCTTTGCAAGGTCAAGTTCTGAGCATCATTCCAGTGTTGGGCAATTACATTTGAGATTATTTTTTTCTTTTGTTATACTTTCCAACCACTTAATTACCTCAGACCAGAACATTTCCACTCTTGGGCATGTTAACAGCATATGTTCCAAAGTTCCTTTATTCTTGCACTTCCTCTAACACATGCCTGATATTCCTTTATTTATTCTATTTAATTTTACAGAGTATAAGTGCCATCTGTGCACTAATTTTAACACTGTTTCTTTAGCCTGAGATGAAACTGATTTGTAAGGTTGAGAGGTCCATATTCTTTCCCATGTGTTTTGTAATATTTCAGTTTTTAAGTTTGTCTCCCAAACTGTCTTGGATCCCATATTGTCTCCAAATTGTTTATCTATAATACTTGTATAAATTGCTGAAATTAACCATTTTCCTTTTATTCCGAATCTCTATACAATATTTCTCTATTTCTGTTAATGGTCTATTTGAGGCCAGTGTTTTATGCATTTGAGTTGCCAAACTTCTGATTTGCGTTATCTCCTACCAATTGGTTGCTATATACCTAGTTTTATCCTGGATCTGTCTGATTGCAATAGGTTTTCCTTGTCTAGAAGGAGAACCCACATCTGCTGAATGCAAGTCTATCTTTCTATCTTTGCACCACACTGGGTATGCCCCATAATATATACTCTACCTAGATAGTAGGATCTCAGTGAGTGAAAGACATGCTTCATTTATGGCATGTATGTCATCTATCCATATAAAAAAGTCAGGACTCATTGCACCTATACTATCACATAAGCCAGAAACAAACCTCAGGTTAGGACTAGGCATAGAAGAGCAGACCTGATTCTGTCCAGGGCAGAATTTAGCTTTAACTGCATTGATATTCTTCAGATGTGCCTTTTATCTTTTTCCATCCTTTTACTTTCTCACATTTAAGTGAATGGTCTCTGTTCATTTTCATGGAGAAACATAAAGCACTGTGGCACTGAAGGGAAAATCTAACATCGATCCCAAGGACCAGAGCCACAAATCACAAATATTCCATAAAGAAGGGTGTGCCCAGTTGCATCCCCTCTTTCCCATAACAAAACAACCTCTAGTATATGCACACACATGTATAACAGAGAATCATAACACGACAGGCATTTTACAAATCAGCTGAATAAAACTACAGGACTAAAGTTGAACTTGACACATCATTGCTTCCCTTTCTTCACTTCCCTGAATTACCATTTCTGGAATAGAAGCTACTTTTTATGGTTTGGCATCTACCCTACTCACTTAAACAGAAAGTGCATGCTATGACAACATGCCTCTGACACTAAAAAATATATACTTAACACTTCCACACAGCTATTATTATCTGTTCATATATGTGATGCATTTGTTTTCATACCTCATATGATGTTTATATTTTCCTCTGACATTATCCTATACCAGCAGGAGAGAACTGATTTTATGGGATTCACAAATAACAGTATTTGAATCACAAAATGTAGGATTTGTTTCTTCCTTTACAAAATTGCATGTCAGCTGTTGCATTTTATTTCTTACATATGTTCCTGAGAAGGAACCCAAGATACTAGATGGGCACATTCACTAACTTCAAAATATTTTTAGAATCCAAATTAATAAACAATAGGTAGATGTTTCTATCACCAGCAGGGGCTACAAAATTATAGGGATTTTAGCTTTACAAATGTTATTTTTGAGTTATATGTACAAAATATACTAAAACACCAAATGCAATTATATTGAGCCTATATTCAAGAATTCTCTATGGGGGCTCCAGTAATTTTGAGAAGAACTTCCTTTTATAGGCATATGTTTTTGATGTAGTTACCATGAATGGTCTATGCATTTAGCTGTCTCTTCTGTGTAAATCACCAGTGGGAAAAGCCTCTACTGGTCAGCAAAGGGAGTTTTGTCACACAGTTTCTTGGTTCCAAAGAAGAAACATTTTAGAGAGCACCTGGGTTCCTGCTGCTTTAGCTCAATCTTGCAGCAACCAAGCTAAAGGATACTTCTTGTCTCCTTGAATTAGCTTCCTAGGTTTGGAATATAAGAAGACTAACACTTCAAAGTGAAAGCCACATGCTGTAGTGTGGTTGAAGAAATCCCAACATTGACAAGGGCTACCTGCAGTCAAAGCAGTAGAGATGAATGCCTTGCCCTGAAATGGCAGACTAGTAATGGCCCCAACTCCTCTGCTCTAACCATGAATTGATGTGTCATATGTCCTATTCTGAAAAAAATTGGCAGACTCCAGGCTAAATCCATTCTGGTCTATCAAAATGCAAATGTGGAGTGCATGATCCACACTTGGGATAGTTTATGTGATCTAAAATGAAGTTCAGAAAAGCCACAGCGAGGCTTACTGTGGCCTAGAGTGTAATAAACCCTGCTATACAATATTTTTGTGTGTAATGCACATTGGACCCACATTTAGCAGAAAGGAGAAATTTCTAAGTAGAGCTGCACTATTACTTTATCTTCCATTGCCTTCTTTCCCCTCCCAATCACAAGAGGAAACTAGCCACTGAGAAGGAAAATTGCTGAAAATAAACAAGGAACAAAGAAAATAGACAAGGAACAAAGACTGGTGGGTTTTTCTTTCCTTGGTGCTAACCCATCCCAACTGTTGTTGTCAAGTGACAGAAAGTCTTTAAAATTCTTAACTCCAGTGTGGGGCTGCTACTCCCCTGACAAGTGTAAAATATTGTTTGGTTCTACATGATAAGTTCACTTCAGGTCAAGCCCAAGCTTATAAAGTTACATTTAAAAAATAATTAGTTACAGCTATAGTTCCAAGCCCTTCCCATGTAATCAGTTACTGCTCTGCTTAACATTTTTCAAAAGTTGATACGTACTTTTCTATTTCTCATCATTACTTTTATGTTGCTTTTAAAGAAAAATAATCTGAATGCTATACTCTGTCGACCTATAATACAAAATGCAGTCTCCTTTTGTCAAAATCACTGTTGTCTCAACAGCTAAGGCAAAGCGAGAGGCAGCAGCAGAAGGAGTGGCATGATATACCTACTGAACCACCTGATATTTCTCCTCCACTGAGTGGAGGCCACACTCCTGTAACTCTAAAAGTAACTAAGACAGTAAACACAGTACAAAAGGGCCTTTCTGTGGCGATGGACTCAGCTCCCGAGGAGCTATGCCTGGCCCTGTATTCTTTTAGGAGACAGTTAAAAAGACTTCTTTTCAGAGTGACTTTTCAATCTGACCCTAGCTGAGCATTTCATCTGCAATTCTGTTTGTGTGTGTGTGTGTGTGTTGCTACTCTCTCTTTTTTAAATGTTCTTGCCACATTTCTACTATTTGTGTCTTATTTTAGTGTTTTGGTGTGAAGGCTTGGTTTTTAAACCTTTGTAAACCATCCAGAATAGTGCCTCAGCACTAACAAAGCAGAATAAATAAATAAATAAATAAATAAACAAACAAACAAACAAACAAACAAACAAACANNNNAATAAATAAATAAACAAACAAACAAACAAACAAACAAACAAACAAATAAATAAATAAATAAATAAATAAATAAATAAATAAATAAATAAATAAATAAATATGCCCCTTATTATATTACAGTCTTTGGTATACTTCAGTACTGAAAAAACATTAATTATAAGTAATTAATGGACTGTAATTACTTATTTTGAACTCTGGTTGAAGTCCTTCTCAGTTAATTTAACCTTCTCAAATTTCAACACAGTCAAGCATCAGTCTTCATCTAAACTCCTAAATTGTTTGTAAGGCTGAAGGAGAATTATATACAGTGGTGTCTCGCTTAACAGGTGCTCCGTTTAGCGACGAAACCGTATAGCGACGAAGATTTTGCAATCGCAAAAGTGATCGCATTGCAATGTTTTAAATGGGGTTTTTTCACTTTGCGATGATTGGTTCCCTGTTTCACTTACCGATGATTTTTTAGCAGCTGATCAGCGGTTCCAAAATGGCTGCCGGGTAAAAAAATAGCCACCCACTGTGTTTAGGGACGGATTCCTCGCTTAAGAGGCAGCGAAAATGGCCGCCGTATGGAGGATCTTCGCTTTAAGGTCAGTTTTTTGCCCATACGAACGCATTAAACAGGTTTTATTGCGTTTCTATGGGCTTTTTTAAATCACATAGCAACGAAATCGCTTAGCAGCGATTTTTGCTGCACGGATTAACGTCACTATGCGAGGCACCACTGTACAATAAATGCAACAGAACATCTACTCACATGGACACACCCAACGGCAGCCACATGTTTCCTCCATTTTAATAGCAGGGAGATTGTTGCGACAGGTTGGCCTGGGCATCTTCTCACAATTAATTCGGTGGCTCTCCAGAACTGTATGGCCACCTGTTAAGCATGTTACAGTGTGGCATTGATCCAGCAGTGTCCATTTGTCACCAGGCTGTACAAAGTGATACAACGAAGTTAAAATATGAGCGAGTGCTATAAAACAAACCAAAAAAACCCTCCAACAAACAAAACCCAACAAAGTGCACTTGAATATTTGTTTTTGTGTAGCAGCAAGCAGGTTTTGATTGGCAACTTAGAACTAGTGAGATGACACTAGCTGTGGACTGCTGAAACAGCCTTGGACAGTCAGAGCAACAGAAAGTAACATGCTACCATTTTTATGGCTGTGAAAAGATTGATAGCAAAAAGCAGGGCAAAATGGAATCATAGAACTGTAGCACTGAAGGGACCTCATGGATCACTGAGGCCAATCCCCTGCAAAGCAAAAATCCACAGTTACAGCATCCCCAACAGGTGTCCACCTAATCTCTGTTAAAAACCTCCCATGAAGGAGAGCCTGCCACCTTCTGAGGCAATCTGTTCCATTATCAAACAGCTCTTATTGTCAGGATGTTCTGACATGGACTGTATGAAGCCCAAGCAGCATATAGGTCACATACAGCATAGTGCCACATACAGCTTGTTTCCGACAATGACAAAAAAGTCAATGTTTCCTTAAAATAAGCCAGGTGGAGGAATAGCTAGTAAAGCAACTAAAAGAGTTTATAAAGAAATCTGTACACATTTGATGGAAGAGGGTCTTTGTATTTTTGAAAAATGAAGCAGCAAAGAAGGGGTATAGAAGGGAAACTAAGCAAGTTTTTTATTTTAAAAAGTAAATTAGACATTCCAACTGAGTTGAAGATTCTGGCATGTAAGGAAACAAAATATTATCCAAGGTAGCAACAATACAAACCTTTCCCAAAGAAGGAGAGAGGGAGAAGTCCACACAAAATGGTCAAGGCTACTGTCAACCAAAACAGGTGATTTTCCAAGCATGCCAGAAAAAAAATAATCAGGCAAGGTCCCTTTCAAAGGGAGATTAATACTCGTTTTCTCATTTCAGTCCACCCATTGCATGGTTGAGAACAGCCAGCTTCAAAAGAATTGCACCATAAATGAATTTGGCTTTATTCCTCAGCATGCCTAATCTGACAAAATTAAGGACCATCTGGGGATGTCCTCCCAGACAAATAGCTCTCCAGCATTTGCTCTCTCAGAAATGCCTACATGGAGGCTTTTATAGTCCCATTAAAACATATTATGCATCCTGTAATTTGAGGGCAAAGGAGCTCTACAGATGTACCAAGCTGCTTTCATAACAGCTTCAGACTATAAGTCCATCTAAACCAATATTTTCTTCTCTAATTGACTCAGCCCAGTTATCCCAAGATACTTTAAACTGAGGGACTAAACCTGGGACTTTACGCACTGGTACAAAGCAAATAATATATTGTCACTTGGCTGTAGCCCTTTCTCTTTACATTCTCAAGATTTTAGTTCTGGGACTGAAAGCCACACAAAATGTTGCTTTCTTGTGAAATAAACATGGCTCCATCTGTCCATAAGCACTTTACAGAAATAAGGCGTATGTGCTGAGAGAAAGCCAGGACAATGGCATATAGAATCAAAGGCAGAGATATACCATTCAAGTGCTAGAATTTCTCACAGTATAAAGATACTTTTTTCATGAGAGATAAAAATGAAGGCTACCTTTTTACCATACCACTATACCATTCAAGTGCTAGAATTTCTCACAATATAAAGATATTGGTATTTACCATACCAATAATAATGTGCCATCAAGTTGACTCTGACTTATGGCTGCCTTTTCCAGGGTTTTCTAGGTATAAAGTACTGAGCAGTGGTTTACAATTTCAATCTTCTAGGGTGCTGTGGGACTGTGCAGCTTGCCCAAGGCTACACAGTTTGGCTCTTCTCTTAGAAGACAGAGGAGGGAATTGAAGTCCCAATTAGGTGCTCCACCTCACTGAGCTATCTGATTGGTCAGAATGTTATGCTATGCAAATAGCTTTTTAACTATGAGTTGATTAAAATTTACTAGAGATAAAAGGGATACCAGGCAAGGTACCTCATGGTGACCAATCTGCTCTACATACAGTGTACAGATTAAGAACCTCTAATCCTATGGCATGAACCAGCTCAACACTTACTTTGTTACAACCAGTCCCACAAAAATGGGGCCATTTGGAAATAATTTCTAAAACAAGTGGCTTTGTGGGGAGATTTGGCCCATGGGCCATTGGCTGGACACACACCCTTTGATGTACCTCTGAAAAGACAAATAAAATGTAAGAAATACATACTTACAGCTCTTACATTCCCATCTTCATCAATACACTCTTGGACAGTTTCTGAAACATGAAAATATAAGAATTTAGTCAGGCTGAATCACAACAAAATGGCCACACAGTCCAACATTCTATTACAGCTGCACAACTGTGCAGCCATCCATTATGAGCTTAGGAGCAGAATAGCATTCCATAAGGCACATAAAAACATGGATGCTCCAAACAAAAAATTATAACTATGAATCTGGACTTTGGATCAGCATCAAATTACACACAGAAGTAGGAGAAAGTCTGCTCTTGCTCTGTGCGAAATTTGGGGACATTTGAGCAAAAGGTTTTTGGGCTGTGTTTTTAAAAAAGTAACACTGTTTTTACCCTGTGCAGATGCAAGCAACCCAATGTGTACGTACAGTCACTGAAAAAAGAAATATGATGAAAAGACAAAATTTGCATATCTGAAAAAAAAAGTCTGTTTCTTCTCCTTTTTTCATTTGGAGTGATTGTGAGCCATTCATGCCTCTAAATTAAAGTTTTCAATTACTACTTACAAAGCCTGAAAACTTCTGAAACTGCTGTTTTTATATATAACTTGGATAAATTCCAAACAACTGAGCTATTTGCATAGAATAGCATTCTGACCAATCAGAATGTGTCTAGAGTCAGCCACAGGGCATACATAAGTCTGTCACTTTTAACCCTACCATGGCCTTCAGTGTGAAAGAAAGCGTTTAACTCCTTCCTGGCCACACATTTTTAGCTCCTGCCTATGAAATATTTAAAACGATGTTTTAAAAATAGATACTAATACTAAGCAGCTCACTAATTTAAGCTGTGAAATTACTGTTTTTTCCCCTTTGTGACAATATCCAGAAATTTCACACAGCATTATAAGCAGCTGCTCTCAGAAATAACACCATCAGAGCTACAAAAATTGGCAATATTAGGAACAGCATACATACTGTGCCGGTATTTAACAGATAATTAGGTTTTTTGTTAAAACTTCTATATGCTATATAATACCAGTCAATGTTTTTATAATTTTGATTGGCTGTGTCTGGTATTTCTGAATCATCATCACCACCTTAGAACTGCAGAGCTAGAGGAGACACTATGGATCATCAAGTCCAGCCCCTGTCAAGGAGGCACAGAGGGGAATCATATTCCCAACCTCTGACTTCACAGGCAGAGATCTAAACTACAGAGCTATCGTGTAGTCCTTGGATCCACATGGTTTTTACATTGGATCATCCCCAAACCACTGTCCAATCAGAGAGTCCATCTGTGCCCATAATCTACACAGAAATCAAGGGTCCTCCGGCATATGGTTTTGCAGTGGTGCAAAAACATGGATCTGATGCACAGATCTTCATGGATCCACATGATTTTTTAACTACGATGATCTCCAAATCAGTGTCTAGCCATATACCCCGTTTGTGCTCATACAACACAGGAATCATAACTCCAGACACATTCTCATTCAGCCACCTCACTGTTGACAATTCCAGACCATTTATGAACAAATTAAACATGCCAAAAAGGACTCTTCCCAATTAGGGATGGCAAATCTCTTAAGCCCATTTCTGCAGAATTCCTCCTTTCTCCACTCTGAAGTTTGCTTCATATGGATTATTTCAGTTATTTCACTGAGACCTTTCAAATACTGTGACTTCCTAGTAAGCAGTTTGGAATTCAAAAATTATAAAAAGTTCTTATTGAAAAAGGGACTTAACAAAATTTTCATGGAGGGACTGACTCATAAAATTTAGTGTCACATTACTCTGAAATTCCTGAACGTTATTCTAAAAATTAACTTACTTTCTTTTTTGTTAACACCAATGCCAAATTTATATGGTGCTTACTAAGCAGATAAATAGCCTAGTGTATTTAGGTTGAGGATCTGAGGAAGAGCCCAATGTGTAGATCACACTCCCTGCTTCCTCTTAACAAGCCTTGGTCTACAAATCTTACTGCAAGCTTGAGTTCCCACCTGAACAACAAAGAAGCATTCCTTTTGAGGTATAATTTGGCTGTTCTCTTGCCAATAAAAATAGAACAGCAATTGCCTGACATTGAATCAAGGTGCTAAAGAAAGTGAAGATGGGTTACTTGCACTAGACTATGTGGACCTGTGTGTTTTGGACTGCTTTCTGAAAATATATGAAGCTTACCTGTGCAAAGTTTCTTGAAAAATTCATCACCCACAGTTACCATGGTGAGAAGGTCATCAAACTGTTGCAGTTTAATTATCCTGTTAGCAGCAGATAGCCCGGCTAAAGTCCTGATTTGCGCTTCTTCATATCTATCCCCAATGCCGACAGGAAGCAAAGAAATTCCTGAGGGAAAATATTGTCAAATTCAAATACTCCTTGCTTTTAATTCTCACTTCAGTATCATATTCAGACATGGGCACAGATAAAAGCAAGGTTTATATATTACTGATAATTGTTTATCAGACAAAATCCAGGGAGTGGGAGAAACACATGGCACCTTAAAAACTGTTATATTTTAATGTGAGCTTTTGTGGATCATGTGCACGTCTTTGGACATATGGATTTTTGAAAAATAATAATTGTTATTCTTCCACAATTTCAGCAGTAGATCTCCTTTTTAAAGGTAAAGGTAAAGGTTCCCCTTGACAATTTTTGTCCAGATGTGTTTGACTCTAGGGGGCGGTGCTCATCCCCATTTCCAAGCCATAGAGCCAGCGTTTGTCCAAAGACAATCTTCCATGGTCACGTGGCCAGTGTGACTTAGACACGGAATGTTGTTACCTTCCCACCGAGATGGTCCCTATTTATCTACTTGCATTTGCATGCTTTAGAACCGCTAGGTCGGCGGGAGCTGGGACAAGCGACAGGCGCTCACTCCGTCGCGTGGATTCGATCTTACGACTGCTTGGTCTTCTGACTCTGCAGCACAGGCTTCTGCGGTTTAGCCCGCAGCGCCACCACGTCCCTGTTTTAAAAGAGTGGATCAAATCATCAATTTTGATGAGTGAGTCTATTTTTAGAATTCTGAAAATCTTAGGGGAGGATCAAATGAGTTACCTCTGCAGATGGAGCCAAAGGTTTAAATAGAAGGGGGAGGAGGGAACCTCTCCAACTGCAGCCCCCAGTTTTGGATGCTGCAGAGACCTGGTACAGGGAAGGGGAGAAAGTTCTGTTCCAGATTGTTCCCAGTTGCTAAACCATGATCAAGCAACTGGCATCTTTACATCTTTACCTGCATTTAGAGTCAGTATTTTAATCATTATACAAAATTGTAATGCTGTGGGTCATTTAGACTGTACTCGACACCAGGAGACAAAAACTGAAGTGACATAGAGTTTCAGTCTTGCATCTTGCCCTTTTCTATTTTTAATATTTTTCTCTTGTCTTCTGATGAAAAGAGTGTGTGTAGGCAGGCTACAAATTGACAAGTTGTATACAGGCTTCCAAACTTGATAGCAACAACTCTGGATGGCATTAACGTCCACCATGGAAATGAGCAGTTTTTCTCAGAACCTTGTTTAAGATCTCACATGTAACCATATCTACTTATAATTATATTTCACATTGCAAGGACCTAGAATATGAAAAGACAGCTCAGTATCTGGGCAAAAAATGACATAATGCAGAGTTACCTCTGTTGGCTGAAGTCAGGCCAAATCTACTGTACGTTACACTGCAATCACCTGCTGATTAAGTTTGGTGACTTCAGGTCTTTTCTAAAGCAGCCTCTGGAGATGGCACTTTGCAACTGAGATTATATAGAGCATGGATGGGAAATATACAGTATGACCCTCCACATGACTCTAGTTACATAACCCTACCTATGCTGACTAGAGCTGATGGAGAGAAAACAGGATCTTTAACCTTTGTTCTGTTACCCATCCCACTGCACCCTTGCCCTAGGAGAGCACTCATGCACTGGAATCCCAATTATATATATATCCCATAGACACTTGGAATTATAGTATATAAGAGCTCTCCTAGGGTAGAAACAAGTTTTAGTGGGAAACCCGTTGGAAAAGAAACCTGAATATTGTTCTCTTCTTACTCATTGTCACTGAAAAGCACTCCTTCTAGGTTCCCAAGTACAGATGGGCATGAACCTGAAAAATGAACCACAAACCATTTCATGAGGGGGGGGGCATGTTTCGTGATAGTTTGGGATTCATGGGTAGCCATCACAGATCCCCAGTTTTCTGGTTTGTGCCTATCTCTAATTCTAAGCCATCAGGCTAACATTAGATGCTGAATAATGTGTATTTTGGCCCTCAATTCATATAGAAGACATATGTTGACTTCTGCAGGTTCAACAGAGCACGGAAAATATGTCAGCATCTTGAGGAATCTGTGCATCAAGTAGGTTAGAAAGGTGGAAAAAGAGTCAGTTACCATAAATTTGTATAAAGCTCCCACATATTGTTAATACTGCTCTTTATACTTGAGTTAGCTGAAGTAAAACAAGAGCCCATCCTGCTGAACTCTAACAGTCACATTACAGTTTCTTACAAGGTAAAATGGGGGGGGGGAATATACCATTAACCAAATTAAGACTTTTTTTAAAAAAACCATCTTGTTAATTTGTAATGCAGTTATTCGATGGAACATGGGTTTGATACATGTGACATAATTACAAATTTCAAGTTCAAATACTTGCTCAGTATCTTTTCACTTATTGGGGGCAAGGGCACACAATACATTTTAAAATGCCATAAACTGAAATCTGAGATAGCAAAGAAAAAGTTGGTGAGCACATTCAGGACATGGCTTTATTTTTAAACTTAATTCCCAGCTGAAACTCTGCACCCCACTTCCAAGGAGGGAAGGAAAGATTATTTCAACTGAGTGTTGAGACATTATGATGAAACTGGATATGTATGTCTTAATTTTGAATTTGAAATTCAAACACCAGGTTGAGTTTTCCATTTAAAGTTCAAACAACAATTTGAGCCCTTCATTTTATGAAGCATGAAAATGAGAGATGAAAAATAAATTACAATGTGATAGTTCCACTAAGATCTTTCAAATTCTCTAACTTTCTAGCAAACCATTTGAAGAATTATTATCTTTATTCACTGTGTGTACTTATCTCAAGGTTAGGTAAGAGGTGACATATGGACCCCATAAAACTCATTATATAAACCAATGCAGTCCCATAGAACAGTGGTCCCCAACCTTGGGCCTCCAGATGTTTTTGGACTTCAACTCGCAGAAATCCTGGCCAGCAGAGGTGGTGGTGAAGGCTTCTGGGAGTTGTAGTCCACAAACATCTGGAGGCCCAAGGTTGGGGACCACTGCCTTAGAACACTCCCATATCCCAAAATAATTTTAATGTTGGAAAAAATTGCCTTAAAATTCCTTCCAGTGGGAGATTCTGGTGCACAGTTCTCTAAGATCCAGGATAGACACAGTCCTTGGATCTTTGAAAGTCGGCCACCTCAATTTAGAATAAAAATAAATTATAAAATATAAATGCAAGCAATGTACTGTAATGCTAGCCCAAAGAAGGAAGAGAGATATGGAGTAGGACACTTTCATTATTGCCTGCGTTGAGAAGCCCAGCTAATTTGCACTCCTTCACACCCTGAACTACCGTCCAGCTGGTGAAGAATTTCTATTTAAAAGTTGGTGAGTGTGCTTGCATGTTTTTTATTTTCCTCTTCCTTACCGTTCTTAAATAGCCTTGCAAAATATGAACAAAAATAATGGCATAATAACAGTATTTACTATTGACTCTAGCAGAGACTGCAGCCACATCAAGGGAATCCTGTGAAGTATCTGATATAATAACCACAGCTATTTTGGAAGCATTCGGCCTTCCTCCGTTGACTTCAGAAATGGCATGCTGAACTGTGAAGTCTATCACTTCCCCTGAAAATCAGAGAGATTTTAAGCTTAAAACCACATGTAGAATAATAAGGATCATCAAGAAATCATGGCAGGCACACAAAATCATCATTTCACAAAGCAAATGTTAAACAGCGCTACTCTTTACAATCCTCTTTCTAATACTGAAGCATCATTGATTCATCAAGTCTCAATACCAGAAGAAAAAAATAAACAAATACCCAGGTACAGTATCATTTTAATGGAGTTATAGTGACATCCAGTGGGAAGAAACAAACAGAAAACATGCCTGCTTGTTTCTCTGTTTAGTAAAATCAGTCAAGAGTCTTCAGATCTCATAAAGATTTAGGCCAGAGCCTTACTGAAAAACACACACATGTAGCAGTCATTGTGTCAGTGGCTTGTGGTAGAGTGACTAGTTACACCCTTGCAAAACTGGCCATGCAACAGATCCGTCAACAAAGGATGAAAAATTACTTGTGTGATAGCACGGAAAGTAGGGCCCCTGGAGGTTTCTGCCCTGACTAATTTTATTGGCATAAGCTTTTACGAACTGCACCCCCACTTGTCCACAAGCAAGTAGGCTGCAGACCACAAAAATTGATCCCAAACAAAACTTAGTTTATAAGGTGCCACAAGGGCCTTTGTTGTCTTTACTGTAACAGGTTGTAGACTCACACTTTACTGCACTATAAATTTTGTCAAAATAATGCACTGCAACCATCCTAAACAAATTATTTACTTTTCTACAGTCAACATTTTTAAAAAAATCCAAGATTTTCATCCCAATACATTTTTAGGATAACTGGTAATTTATCTGACATGTGTGAGTTAAATTGTTTTTTTATACTGGTAGTAATATACCCAAACTAAACAATGCTCAATCCACATAAAGAACAAAACAAACAAGTGCCCAACTTGTCATATGGAAAATGGCCATCAGTCAAGCCTCAAAAGATCTGAATCATACATCTGGAGGGCTTCCTCCTCTTGTATTGCCCCTGAGTAGTCATCCATATAGCAGGAGTGAACAGGAATGTATTTGCATAACTGCATTTATTTCACATACTGCAATCTTGCCTCAGTCAGGTCTGCTTTGACAAGCATTCTCTGTTGCAATGTGTTCTATATACTTTGACCAATCCTCAGGGAAATGAGTGCAGAATCTTCCACAGGTGTACAATGTGGCAGATGGGCTGCTAGTGTGTGGTATCAGAATTGCGGACTAGGTAAAAGTTGGAATGGAACAGTGCCAAAAACAGTGGGACGTGCTGGACAAACATCCAAACAATATTTTACATCTCAAACATAATGAATATTGTTCCTTCATTAACTCTTTTTTACATAAACCCAGCTAGAAGAGAACACAATGGCCCAGAACGGCTGCTTCTGAGTATGATAACCACATTCACAACACACATGGTGTTAGATAAGACAGACACAGCAAGCTACAAATTATCTGCAAAAACATTTCAGTACCAATTCTGGGCAGAAAATAGATTTTGCAAAGTAGGACAGCCCAAATTCGTGATTTCCATGTAGGACAGTCCAACCAAGTTGACCCACCCCATCCAGCTAGAGGTGACTGTCTTTCACAACATTTATTCCCTGCCTGGTATGCTGTTCCCAGGGCATTTTGTGGTTGGTTGCAATAGCCATCTCTAGCTGGGTGGAATGGGTCAGAAGTTGCCATTCCAGGCCATCGTGTTCCACTCTGGCAGATTTGGGGGTCATAAAGGATTAATGAAAGATTTGAAGTCTAAAATGTTGTTTGGGTGTTTATCCAGCAAATACCACTGTTTTTGGTACCGGAATTATATTAATAGTGAAAGGTTTGTGTGGGTTGCCAGTTGGCTCAATTCAAGACACTGATTTTAATCTTCAAAGCCCTAAGCAATTTACAGCTTGCCTATCTAGTGTACAGCTTGTCTTTACTGTGACTTGCCTGGTTATTAAAATTAAGCCCTTTTGAGAATATAATCAGTCACAGTGGCCAGTTAATAGGCATGCACAACTGGCTCAAACCATGCAAAGATACAGGTAAGCAGCTGTTCTTGCTACTCCTTGGTGCTTGTGCAGTATGGGGACTGATGATAAGCCAGCATCAAACATGCTAAAAGCCCAAATAGAATGCCTAAGAAACATTGGCGGGGGCAACCCTATAGCAGGATGGAACAGTCTAGGAATATTGATTCTACTTGGGAATGGAGAGAGGGTAAGATGTGATGGCTCAATTGATTTTAATGGAACTTGAAGCAAGACTAATTTAATTTGTGTCTAACCCACTTACATTACATGACTAGTTAAGTAGAATGCCAGAAAAATGGTATCAAGCAATCTTTTTTAAAATTATGGTACTAAATAAAATATTAGCACTATCTACAGCAGGGTCAAGTGAAATAAATGGGACTTTTTACTTACTACTGACTTAAGACCCATTGATTTGAATGTGTTTACACAGGGCGAATATTGGACTTAGACCATGAACAGGAAATTAAAAACATGATCACTGGAGAGGAAAAAGAAACAATGAAGGGAAACATTCCAAGGAACTCCAATCGTGGGGAAGCAGAAACTGAGATGTGACAAAATATCCTAGTAAACAGAATTACTAGGATAAACTTGGATATTCAGCAAAGGATAAAGTTTAGTAGCTTTTCTTTGTGTGTGTGTGTGTGTTTCCTGAAAGGAAGGGATAAAACATTAAATCAGTTTTCGATGTTGTATGGTTACAAGAGATGGGGGAATTGAACAAAGCAGAGGTTTCTGCCTTAACTTCATGAATCACCATGCTAAAAAGGTCTCCATGGTTCCAGTAACACCTTCTCAATGGCTTTGACCCAGGAAGCACAAGCCTCCAAGGGCCTTTCTTCACCCCAACGTATGGAACAGTTCCTCAGGATGATGTCAAAAGAAGCTGTTTACTGTTACCAAAATATGACAAAGGAGCAGACATCCAACAAGAAGTCCTGGACATGGGATATACAATACAACTGCATTGATAATAAAATATTGTCCAGCTGGATTTAATATAACATTTACCCCAACAAAGAAAATTATGAGCATTTTTTAAGGCTAGCAAGTTATCTGGTGTGTGTTTTTTTTTTTCATCTACTGTTATATTGTCAGTCTAGTACAGTGGTTTCCAACCTGAGCCAAGTAATCTGCAACCACACCATCACATTTGCATAAAAAGGTAAAATACTGTATTTTTCCATGTATAAGATGCCCCTTGTATAAAATGCCCCCCCACTTTTCTAAATCAAAATTTCTTTCTTTGCAAAGAATTGGAAGCCGCCTAGAGTGGTCGGAAGATCAGATGGGTGGGGTATAAATAAAAAAAATTAAAAAAAATTAATAAGAATCTTTTTTGCAAAAATTAGCACTTTTGTTGCAAAAAGCAGCTTCCCCCCTCCCCCGGCATGTTTTGCAAAGACAATGCAGGGGGAAAGCGATTTCTGCTTTCCCCCTACATTTTTGTTGCAAACGTTTTGCAATGAAAATGTAGGGGGAAAGTAGGAATCACTTTCCCCCTCCATTTTCTTTGCAAAACCTGGAGGGAGAGAGCTACTTTTTGGAATGAAAATGGACAGAAAGTCCATGGCTTCTCCTAACAGGGCTGGAAAAACTTATAGCAAAAAGCCTGAGAGAGACCTTTGGCTAGTGTGGGCGGCATATATATATAAAAAAATGTGACCCTCAGTTTTTCTTTTAATTACTTTAGGAAAAAGTGTCATTTTATACACAGAAAAATACAGTAACCCCCGCCCCCTTTTAGAAAGTAGAGGCTAACTAACTTTAATGTCCCACTCTGAAAGGTCAAGGAAGAAATTATTTAACAAGGGACACAACATATATAAGGCAACCTGCTACCCCCCCCCCCAGAAAACTGTTTGTAACCTCCTTGGAGGTCACCTTAAGTTGGGAAATACTGGTCTCGGAGAAGGGAGCATTCTCATTTTCTCCATCAGATACCATTGTGGTACTCCATGGAAGAGTATGAATGCAGACTTAGGAAATCACTTACTGTTGATTTCTCCCTTAACTAGGGGTTTCAAGACAGCCAGTGTAGGGTAATGGATAGAGTATCAGACTAAGACTCAAAAGATGTGGTTGAAATCTCCTCTCAGCCGTGGAAATTCACATGGGTGGCAATGGTAAACTACTCCAGTCAATAAAGCTCACCTTGAAAACTCTGTTATAGTAATCATAAATTGGAAGTGACTTGAGACAACACAACAACGTTATATTAGTTAATTGACCACATTTACCCTCAAATGAATTAATAAAGCAATTGATTTTGAATAGTTTGCATATTATGAAGCCTACAGTTTGAGAAAGTACCCTTCTGAAGATGAAGATAATGTGTTTCCCTTTACTGAAAGAATAAATACAATTCAGTCCATAAAAGCTACCTTCATCACTAGTAAGCAAATCCACACTTACTATTTCCATGTTTATTAAATATGGAAATATTTACCAGTACAGTAATACACCAAAATGGCCTTAATAAATCAGAAACATCCATCTCTACTATGAAATATTTGGATTCCAGGAACTAGTTTTCAAGTGCCTCTGGATACACAACAAATAAAATTAATAGTGGTCAGAAAAAATGCTATACCAGAAGAGATATGAGCAGACAGGGTTTAGTCTGAGACACCATTTAGTGAGCAGATGAGAGGAAAGTAACCGGAGAGAGAGCCCATGGCTCTGCATCATATTCCCAGTCACTTCACTCTAGTTAAATACTACTTCTTTTTGCATCAACACTATCTCCCAACTATTGCCAACCAACTTTAGTTAAATCACTAGAATTCTTCCTATCCATAGTTTTCTTACTACAGCGGTGCCATGACTTACAAAAGTCCCTACTTACAACCATTTTGAATTATGACCAGCTCCAGCTACAAAATGTTGCTTCTACTTGCAACCGGAGCTTCCACTTACAGAAAAAGGAAGGGGAAAGGGGGAGGAAATTGAAATTCTTAACTGTAGGTGGCGATGAGGCTGCTTCTTTGTAGCTCTTTCACCCAACAGTTAGAGAGTAGGCTTGGGACTGCCTCCCTCTCCTTCTGAGTGTGTGTGTGTGTTTGCAGGGAGGCTTCAGGCTGCCTGGTAAGGTAAGGTACTGTGTTCTGCTTTTTAAAAACTGTTCTGGGTGTTTTTGCAGCGTGGTTTTCACCTGGGGGGGTTATGTTTCTGTGCTCTGATGGGTCTTGAGGGGTTGTTTTTGGTGTTTTTTTCCCCATTTCTGATGGGTCTTGGGTATTTTTGTTGCTTTTTGGAGTGTTTTTCCCCATTTCTGAGTATCTTGGGGGGTTGTTCGTTCTTTAGGTTTTTTCCCCATTTCCAATGGGTCTTGAGGAGGTTTGGTTGTTTTTTGGGGGTTTTCCCCATTTCCGATGGGTCTTGGGGGATTTGTTTGTTTGTTGGCTTCCCCCCCTTTTCTGATGGGTCTTGGGGGATTTGGTTGCTTTTGAGGGTTTTTCTCCCCATTTCCGATGGGTCCTGCATGTTTCCCTCACTTTTCCCTTTGTTTTCTTTGCATTTCCAACCTGTCCCCTTTGTGCATTTCCGATCTGCTCCATTTGTTTTCTGTCCATTTCCAGCGGGTCTTGCATACTTGATTACTTTTCTCCCTCCCCCCTTTGGCCGGAAGGGATTAATCGTGTTTCAAATGAGTCTTGCAGTGATTTTTTTAATGATATTTTTCCTTCGGCCGGAACGGATTAATTGCATTTCAATGCATTCCTATGGGAAATGGTGCTCCGACTTACGACCATTTCGAGTTACGTCCATCTTCTGGAATGGATTATGGTCATAAATCGAGGCACCACTGTACTTCCTTTACAGGTATTTAGAATGTGTCCATTTGTTCCGTGTTGGACCGTAATGGTTTCCAACACCTCCCAGGTGTCTCTGTATGGGCGACATCCATTACCTGCAGAATGTCCAGAGTTTAGTTCCCCAGAAATCGTGAAGGTCTGAAGCAAACGGTATTGGTATAGATACCTCACTGAAGGTCTGAAGCAAACGGTATTGGTATAAGGCAGCATAAGGCAGCTTCCCAAGGCATCTAGCAGCTCAGTATAACTTGCTGAATATATAATATGGATGGAAAGTGTGCAATACTTTTGTATATGAATGGGGCCTTTCCTTTCTCAAAGAACCTGTCAGAGACTACTTGACCATCTGTTTGGGTTTTTATTAGTATTATTTCTCCAGGCTGAGAAAGCAATCATGACCAATCCTCCAGCGAACTATGGAAATCAGGTTTCATTTCTCATTTTTCAGCAGCAATAAACTCTCTGCAGTGCAAAGTAGGCCAAGGATCCTAAAATCTGGATACTCTTTTGCTCCTGAGGGGCCCTAATATTAGGCTGCTGCCAGACAGATCCTGCTTTCCCAGCCAGAAACATGATGGGTGAGAGCCAAAGGGTCATGCACAGTGTTCTGCACATGAACTGGGCTTTCCAAAGCCCACTCTCACGCTAGCTTCTGCCTGCCCTCTTCCTGCTGCTCGTGAAGGTGGAGGGATCCTCTGGAGTGGGACTGGAGGTGGCACTTCCAGCTGGAGCCAAAAGCAAAAACAGCAACACCTCCTCCTATGAGTGAAAGTGTTTCCTGTTTTTTTTTTTGGGGGGGAGGGTGCAGTTTTGATTCCAAGCACCATATCTGAAGGAGTCTTAAAAAAAGTTACACTACAAGATTTAGCAATTGTAATGGCTTTCTTGGGTCTTTTATTAGGCCTTGTGCTCCAAGTTCAAGTTCAGAGAAGGTCTGGCCCTGTTCCCATTTGTGGCAGATCCCTTTGGTACCACGTTTTGCAGATGGGGACAATTTTTATATGGCATGTTTTAGCCAATTGGAGGGAATTTACAAACCCCACTGGTTTGTGGGTCTCCTTCTTTCATTGTGTTGCTTAAACACCACTTCCAACTGTTTTTGGCATATGGTGGAAAGATTTAGGTAGCAGACTAATAGGAGTATCACTTGACTCTAGTCCTCTGATTCTATTCTTCTTCATCCTTCTCTAGTTCCCCTTTTCCGTATCTACTCTGCCCCCTTTTCTCACCCTCTGTTCTGCCTATATCCAACATCATTTTGAACCGCTGCCCCCTTGAGTGGAATGTTTATTTGATATTGGATTTACTCTATGTAGGTAGCTATGTTTTGGTAAGTGGAGCTAATTAAATAAGGGTGACTTTATTACATTTTGGTGCACAATTTGTTTGGGAAATAAGAAATTAATTGGGAGCAACCCTCTGATTTGGGCTTGGTTTGCTTTTTCAGCAGTGCCCTCTCAAATTTTCAAAACTTCGGTTTGATACTTGGAAGCTGGACTAAATGGATTATGACCCGCAAATCCAGCACTTACTGTCTAGTGTCCTGACTGGAACCGGGGGGGGTGTGTGGGGGGGGAGTGCAGGGTTAATCAACTCTTGGCAGGCTGTCTCAGTGCATCAAGTCAACCAGTCTGGGGGAGAACGAATAATTTAGTGAGATTTCACCTTCCCTAGGCATGTCTTGTCACTTTTCCTGGTTCTTCCACTCTCCTTTTCCGCAAAAGCCTGTCTCTCCTCAAATGGCTACTGCTTCCCAAAAGGAAAGTCTGTTATGCCTCCTTATTCACAAGTGAGCTGTCTGGCTCTGTGCTGTACAGTCTGTTTTTTGATCAGTCAAGAAGCCATTTCTCCACAAGCTGTTTACGTGAGCAGTATAAGAGGATCTGATAATCCGATCAGCAGGGACCCCCTGGGCCATCTCAGCTGTTGTGCTGGGCTTAACTGCTGTCTAGTGCCAACAACACAGTGGCTGATACTACAAAGGATTCCCTCCCTTGTTGCGAGAATTGTTGGTGCTGTCATCAGTGCTGGAAAATGAGTGGCTACAGGAGTAATCTTGTTCTGCATAACAAAACCATTTTGCTCTCAATACCCAGAGGATCTCAAAACCACTGTTCCTATGTCACAGCAATATTCTATGGATACCAGTGTAGCTGGGCAGGGCTGACCTGTACTCTGATCAAGTGCACTGACTACATTTGGCAGCTCTGAAGGTGTCTGTTGATAAATGACTTTTAGGCTATAATGTTATTTTTTAAAATTGTTATGTTTGTAAGTCCAGGTGCAGTAATCCACCTTGCACAATAAGAAAAGAGGGAGAAGAACTGCTTTAAAGAAATAAGCAAATGCATGTGCGGTCCGCCCAATAAGCCTACTTAGAAATAAACAAATGGGAGAAACAACCTTCCCTGACTCTTTATCCCAAATCACATACCGAGTCTGCTGGGGCCTTGCTCTCTTTGATGAATCTTGCTCACCACAGACAAAAGATTTGCTTTCTCCTGGGGTGTATTCCATGACATTTCTAAAACACTAGCTTTTCCATACTGGAGAACAGCCACTTGAGTTGTAGCATGGCCTGAAAAGGAAACGACAGAATATACAAACAAATAAACAAACATCTAGTAAATTGACAATTCTCAAGTGTGCAATGAGGCCTGAACATGATCTAACAAAGGTGAACATTTGTAAACTTCATATCAAGATTGATTAAAAGTTAATGCACATTGTCTGTATTTGAATGGATGGTAGGACTAAACAGCCAAACGCATCCATATTTGTGTGTGTGCTTCATTTGTTACTGTGACTCTCTAGTTTCTGAAAGCAATGAGAAAAATGTGTTCATAATGCACATACTATGCTTCATAAAACTACTTCAACCACCCTTCAGCTACTCTTTACCAAAGGAACCAATCGGTTCAAAAGTTTGGATCTGCAAGTTTTCAACAACCAAACATAAGGGACAAGCATTTTTCAGGCTCCTTTTCATTATGTTCCTGCAGGTGCAAACCCTACCTGTGGCTTAGTGTCCATCTTCAACTGAAGACAAAGCAGACATGTTTACAGACAGGCAGAGGTGCCATGATGAATGAAGCACCATGGCATGGTGTATATGAAGCACGGTGCATATGCCACATTTTCCAAGTGATATGCAGAATTCAAATATATTTAGAAATATCATAACTTTAATCCAAGTTTATAATGATAATGTTAGACCAAATGTATAGAGTTTTGTTTTTCACTCATGAAGCAAGTTCACTTTGCTTGTTGTTGTTATGTCATGTCAAGCCTCCAACTCATGGCCATCCAATGGCTCTATGAATGAGTGCTCTCCAAAATGTCCTGCCCTCAACAGCCCTGCTCAGCTATTACAAACTCAAACCTATGGTTTATTTTAGGGAATCTGTCCATCTCATATTTAGTCTTCCTCTTCTCCTGCTGCCCTCCACTTTTCCCAGCATTCTTGTCTTTTCCAGAGAATCCTGTCTTCTCATTATGTGGCCAAAGTAGGACAGCCTGAGTTTCAACATTTTTTTGCCTTCAGTGACAGTTCAGACGCCATGTGCTCTAGAGCCCATGAGTTTTGTCAATCTGGCAAGCCGCAAAGCTCTCCTCTAGCACACTTCAAACAAATCATTTTTCCCTGTCAGCCTTCTGAGCTGCCCAACTTTCACAGCTGTACATGGTGATCAGAAGTACAAGGGTGTGGATGATCTCGGTCTTTATCTCCAATGACACATTCTTACACTTGAGGACCTTTTTTGAGTTCCTTCACTGCTGCCCTTCCCAGTCTTCTTCTGATTTCTCTTCTGCAGTCTCCATTTGGATTGATAACTGAACCAAGGTATAGAAAATCTCTATTTCAATTTCTTCATTGTCAATTTTAAAGTTGTGTGGTTCTTCAGTAGTCATGAAATTTTTCTTCTTTTTCTTAACATTCGGCTGCAATCCTCCTGTGGCACTTTCTTCTTTCACCTTCCCTGACAACCATTTTGAGTCATTGTTGCTTTCTGCCATAAAGACGGTGTCATTTACATATCTTAAATTATTGGTGTTTTTCCCCCCAGTTTTCACTCTTCCTTCATCTGAATCTAATCTGGCTTTCCATCTGAAACGTTCTGTGTACAGACTGAACAGATAAGGGGATAAAATGCATTCTTGCCTGACACCTTTGGCTATACGAAACCATTCTATCTCTCCATATTCTGCCCTAACAGTAGCTTCTTGTCCACCATACAAGTTATGAATTAGGACAATCAAGTGCTGAGGCACACTCATTTCTTTCAGAACAACTCATAGTTTATCATGAACTACAGTCAGAGGCCTTGCTGTAGTCTATAAAGCATAGACTGATATTCTTCTGAAACTCTTTGGTGCTTTCTAATAGCCAGTGGGCATTTGCAATGTGATTTCAAGTGCCGCTTACTTTTCAAAATCCAGCTTGGACATCAGAGATTTCTCGCTCCATATAAGGTAAAAGCCTTTATTGCAATACCTTGAGCATCACTTTGCTTGCATAAGGAAATAAAGCAATGGTCCTATAGTTACTGCACTCCTTGGCATCTCCTGTCTTCAGTACTGGCATGTATATAGAGCATATCCAGTCTGTGGGCCGTTGTATTGTTTTCCATATTTGTTGACATATTCCTGTTAGGATTTTGAGAGAGTCTTTCTCTATGGCTTTAAAGAGATCTATCAGTATTCCATCTACCCCTGGTGATTTATTACTTCCTAATGTTTTCAAGGGAGGTCCTTTTGCTAACAACACGTAAATATGCCACAAATAACAGTATATTCACTGAAGGCATTTGCGTCACAAATATTCATAATATTCATTTATAATGCTTTGCATTTACAGTCACCTTCCAAAATCCTCATTGAGAAACAAGTTGCTTTAACAATCTGATCCACTGGTTATGCTGGCAGCTGCCACTGCACTGACATGTCAGAAAACTAATTATGTGGCCAATAAGTCTGATCTATGTATACCAAATAAACGGGAATAGGAGAGTATAGTGATGATACGGCAGAAAGAATGCACTATACTCTTAATTGATGCAGTGGGGAATTCTGAATACTTCCATATGAAAATGTCCCATATATGACAAGAAAAATAACACATGAGCAAATATAGAAGGCAATGCTACTATCATTAAAATGGTACTCTTACTCATGATGCCAGACCCATGGTAAGTGTCGAGCTTTTCCAGGCACTGAATTTTAGTCAACATAGTGTAGAATTCTGGTTGTTTGCAAAAAAGGTGTTCCAAGAATCATTTTATTTGCCTTCTTATAATTAAAATCAATATGGACCATAAATCTTTAAAATACAGTAATGAATAATGTGTTGTACTCACCAATATCAGTGTGCTCAATAAATGCTTTCACAAAACTTTTCATTTTCTCAAACTCTGATTCTTTAACATTTGAGCTTCCATCCAGAAGAAATATCACATCTATTGGCTTGTTGCAAATTGCTGAAAGTACAAGTTATTAAAACTAAGAAACTAGTCAGGCAGTAATATGTCTTCAGTGAGATGCTGGGTGAATAGCTCAGTAGTTTAGCTATGCAGCTGTGGATCCAGAGGTTGGGAGTTCAATTCCCCACTGTGCCTCCTGCAAGTAAAGCTAGCCTATGTGGCCTTGGGCAAACTGTGCAACCTCAGAATACTCCTGGAAGCACACCACTTCTGAGTACTTTCCACCCAGAAAACCCTGAAAAGAGTCTTCATAAGTCGGAATTTACTTGATGGCACATGATGATCATGATCATGATGATTACTTAAAGCAGAAACAGCAAATAGCCCAAACTGGAACTAAAAGCATATTCATGTTGGAGAATGCTGACTGAGGCAGTGCTTCGCATAAGAAAAATCATACATCAAAGAAAGCCTGTGACAGTCCTGGAGAAAAACCACAAAACCAAGCAGACTATTTTCTGTACTCCAGGAGGTAAGAGCCATTCCTGCTGTGGCATGAGACAGAAACACCACTTAAGGATTTTCCTGTTCTAATTGTGGACTATCTATAATGTCTGTTTGTGCTCAAAAAGACACAGTAAAGTAGAATCTTTTGTGGACAAACAGTAGAAAGCTCTAATAAACTGTCAGAGGAAACTGTTCTTTTATCAAGCTGGCTGGTAAGGAATCCTTATACATATCAGCAATATTACTGAGAACAGTTCTAGGAAACCTACGCAGTTCAGGCCTTGATGCCAGCTTGTATGTTTGTTCATTTTTTTCCTAAAGATGAGCACTGGAGGGAAATATTCAATATTGTGAATCACCTGTTTTGCACTGCCATTTTCCCTCATTACTGATCATCTTGCTAAAGAGACATTCCTGATAAATGTCTAAAGAAACCCAGTTTGAAGATAATTATTCTAATGTATAAGTTCAACAACCACAAACACAACAATAACAGCAGCAGCAACCCTTTGCTCTGCCATTATCCGAGGTGAAACAAGTTCTGAAGGCATTACAAACCCTGCAAACTAAACAGAAGTGGAATTGGGTGGGGGAGGACCGTGGCAAAATGACACCAGCTTGCCAGTAGCTTGTATCACAGCACAAATATCTTGTTTTGCATTTGGGAGGGCCCCAATCAATGACTCCAGGAAAGAAGAAATAAATCACCTCTCTAAGAAGATGTTCTCAGAGCAGGCACAGTAAGACTCATAAAATGGAAATCAGTTAATCAACAAGAGGAAAGGCAGATATTACCTTCCTTTGAGCAACATGTTTTCAGTACCAGGTCAGGACCTTCTTCGATAAGTTTATTATACCCTTCAAAGATTATTGGCGCCTGTGGCTGGCTTAACAATTTCAGCTCTTGGATATTCACGTTAGGAGTTACCCCGATGGGAATAACGTTGATATCAGTGGGCGGGCGGGTGATAGTGTCTGTGGCAGGGTTTGCAGTCACCATATAAACCAAGTGTGGTATTTGCCGTCTTCCTCTACCGCCTGTTGTCAACGTTTGTTCAGAGATGAAATTGAGAGCTTTCCCAGTGTTGGTGGCATTCCCACCCTGGTACTTGATCTCCCTCACCTTCTTAATCAGGACTTCCTTGGATTGTTGGTCACTGAAAGAAAATTCCACGGTAAATGTGAACGAGTACTGTATGATGGTAATATGGATAGTTTCCTCTCCTATGTTCATTTCTCTGATTGTGCGGACAATGAACTCTTTGACCAAATCAAAATTCTCTTTGCCAACTTTGTCAGATCCTTCAACCAGAAAAATAACGTCAATGGTCTTGTGAATAGAAATGGAAAATTCTGTTGGGGCTGTCTGCCTAAACTTCCAATGTAGTCTGGGTACTGTAACAGCAGTGATACTGGGAAGAGTGGGAACAGGTGTCTGCGGAACAGATAATTCACTTATATCAGGAACAAGACCACAAAAGTAATTAATTATTTCGTCCCTGTGTTCCCTTAACTCGGCCACACTGTTCATTATGAAAGCCTTGTTCTTGGGTGACTGGCGTTCAAGTAGTTCAAGCTGCTCAATGCTCACATGTGGTCCAAGTCCAATCGGTATCACAGTAATTTGATTGTTTTTCAAATGTGGGAAGATCGGTTTAAGTTTCTTTGGATCCCTGCTAGCAGCAAGTAGCACAGCAATCCTGGGAGCATTTGTCCGCGGAGACTTCCTAAACACATGATGTATAACATATTTAAGTACTTCACTTGCAGAAGCAATGTCTCCACCAGTGTATTTTATATTTTGGACAATCCTCCTCATTTGAGATGGTTTTTTAACATCTTTAAGATCAAGGTAAATGTGTGAACCAGTGCGATATTCCAGGACTGCAAGACGAATTCTTTTTTGGGAGATGTGGAGCTTTTCCATCATTCCAATTATGAAAGCTTTCAGCTCTTCAAAATCACTTTCTGAAAGCTTATTGGAGCCGTCTATTAAGAACGCAAGGTCCATCATTTTGTTGCAAGAATATTCACGTGTCACCTCATCCTCTGGAGCAATCGTGGTTGTCATCTGGACTTCAACAGCCTCTCCTGGATCACACGGATGGCATGTCAAGTTTCGCCCTTCGCAATGACTGACCATAAAAAGACATAGAAAGGTAAGCTTCTTTTTAAAAACAGCTTTAACAGCAGTATTTCACTTTAAATCTATTACGGTTTATATCAAGAGTGAGGGACAGAATTGTTCCTGGGGCCAGATTGTCTTTTGGGACATATCTGGAGAGTTGGATGATCCAGGGTGGGTTCCTTTTGAAACTGCCCCCCTGAAACTCTATGCCATTCTGCCCATTGTGACTTTCCCTTGCAGATCATGGCAAGTAACTCCAGCCCCCCCCATGAAGAAAGGCAACAACCTACCTCTCTCTATTCCAACAGCAAAAGTAGGAAGTGGGCAAATTGATTCAACCAGTCCTTGGAGGAGCAGCTGGCTGAGTTACATATTTAGTTTATTCACCATTTGTGGTTCCAGTAACAAGTGAGCAGTGGGTGAATCAACTCAGCTAGGGCTTCAAGGGACCTTTCTTCCAGGCAGTAGGGATAGGCTTTTCAGAAATTTTAGATGGCAACTCCCAGGATTCACTAACAGTCTCCCCAGGCAGAATTCTGAGTGACGCAACCCAAAATCTGCAACTTACAGAACAGCTTTCATCCTAGGTGTGGGCCCTCAACACTATTATTCCCCTTTGAAGAAGAAGGGAACTGCCATGGCACTGTCTGGAAGTGGCAAGCTTCAAGGGGGTTGCAAAGCCACCCATTCTGTGTAGCCTCACGGCTCCCTGGCAGTTGCTCTGTATGCTGCAATTCTCTGGCTGCATCTTCCAGAATTCTGCCTCAGGGAATTATTAATGAATTCTGTGAGTTGCAGTCCAAAAAAATCCAAAACCCCCATCACCACAAAGGAATAGCCCACTCATATGCCTGATTCATCCATTATCCAAACTGGGACTGTAGGCAACAGAACTATGGTTAAAGGAGAAGCTCCACCAGGCACCAGCTAGGTTACTTGTTGGCTTCATCACCCACTCACTGTTGTGACGAGAAAGACAAATGGCAGGACAAGGGCCTGGAGAAGCTACTTCTTCAGCTTTCTTACCTTAACCTATTTTGGCTTGTTCCTCTTCTTCACCCATCAGCAAAGCTGATGCACTGAATCTACGTATCAGAGTATGCCAAGTTCATCATTTTGCCTTATTGAAATAAACTGCTCTTTAGTCTGCCCAGGCAGTACCTCACCCTTTCCATCTTGAAAATTTTATTTTGCTTGCTAGTTTGTTTTTTGAAGGTCCAAAACAGAAAGGATCAACAATAGAAAGGAGAAAAAACAACATTGTCAAGGTTCCTGTATCCCTATAATAATAATTGCACACCAAGTCAATTCCAACTTATGGTGACCCTTTCCAGGGTTTTCTAGATAAAGTGTGTGCAGAGGTGGTTCATCATTTTCTTCTTCTGGGGGCACCTTGCCTATGCCCACACAGGCTGCCTTCTAGGGTGCACGGTGGGGAATCGAACTCCCATCCTCTGATTCCATTGCCAGATACCTAAACCAAGCTATATTCAGCTTTGAAAACTGCCAAAGCTACTAGTCATAAAAGAGATTCTATTGTTTTAAAGCCTCCCTGCCATAGATAAAAAGAACAGTCAAAATGAATAAAGTGCAACACAGTGATGCTTTCTAATTGTGAAAATGAAATAAAAGAATAAGGATGTATTCTATTTAGTTGAAATTAACATAGTTTATTGGTCAGATTTACATCATTGTTTGGGAAACATATGACCTATCCATGGGACCCTTGGTTTAATTCAAAATTTGTAACAACTCTTCATTACTGATTTTAATCATGATTAAAATAATTTATTTAACTCATTTTGATCATAACCAATCCACACATTTTATGGAAATATCTACAAACAATTTTTACATCTCCTGGTTAACTTCTTTCGCTATATTGCTGCAATGGTTTTCCATGGACATCAACCATAAATAGCATACTGCAAATTAAGTGGTGTCAGTTTTGGTGAGCAAATGCATTTGCTGAGCTTTGTGCCTGCTAACATTATAATAATCCAAATAATAACCCATCATAACAAATCACTTGTTTTAGATCTCACACTGGCCTCTGGCATGTTTCTGGGCTTCAGAGGATCTACCTACTCCCAAGATATCCCATCTTTATTTTTAAGATCTGTATGAAGATTAACAATTAGCCTGAGCAACAACAGCAAATTACAGGCACAAGCATAACCTCAAATGTTGGAGAAATTTAGGATGGTATATTGGTGCCTCTTCACTGGCTTCTGCCAGCAGGAAGTGTCACTGGGAAGGGGGGCCTCTGCTATGCCCTGCTGAACCAAGAGCTGCTGCCAGCGCTTCTCCTGCTGGTGATAAGAGGCAGAAGGGCCTGGAACAGGATGTTCCAAGGGCAATCCAATGTAGTCTTGCTCCATTCTGTAAGACCAGTCCTGGACTGGCCAGCCAGCAGCCCTGTAGCTGCTGTAGCTGCCTCTCTAACTGCTATCCGTGATGGTAGGGAATCTCAAATGTAAGGATCTGCTGGGCTGACACCTCTAACAAAATTGTTCCTTCACCCTTTGTAGTTGTCAATGGAACCAGCAGGCAATGCAAAGGGGAGATCTGCCTTGTTATCCCGCTGTTTCAATCCCAAACCCACACTTTATTTTAGACTGTGTCAGCCATACTCTACCAATGAAAATTACTTCAGATGTTTTCTCCTCCGATTGATTGATATTTATTAACTAATATTATCTCCTCTGATTGATTGATATTTATTAATATTACATTCTTCTGTAGTTTGGAATACCAGCAGGTTATTGAGAATAGCATTAGAAATGTTACACATACACCAAATATAGGGGAATCCTAGTAGATTTTTCACTTCAAAGAGGGGAAAATATGAAGATGTTTTAGGTCAGATAGGCTATCTGGGCAAAGTAGCAAATAAAGAAGTCCTGCAAGGCAAACCAAAAATAGGGTCCAGAGCTTGGAAATGACACCTTGAAATTAATGAATTAATGTTTTCACTTCACCCTCCCAAGGGGGGGGGAAGCATTACTTTATCCCAATTTCAAAAGTAAGTAAGATGTTTTCCACCTTGTGCTATGTCTGTGTGCCCATACCTCGGAGCAAAGGCATCCATACATATGCTCACAAGAACTAATTCTATACAAGTGATTCCTAATTTTAGCACTTCAGATATTTTTTGCCGACTCCTGAAAGCCAGCATAGCCAGTGGACAGAGTTTTGGAAAGCTATAACCCAACAACACCAGGAACCCCACTGCTGAAAACAGGACCTGTATGGCCAAAAGGAGAGCACAGCTAAGAGAGCTGTGCAGCCTTTTGTTGAGACTGTGCTTTCAAGCAAAACTTCTCTAGTGTTTTGATAAAGAGGTGCTGTTGAAAGTGATAACAAAACGTACTGGTTCGCCACACGGTTAGCGTTCTTTGATGTGAATGTGTATCTTTTTTCTCTGGAGATGATATCTTGTGTTATACTTTTCACTTTGAAACCACAATCTCTAGCAAACCACTGCATTATGGGATCTGTAGTCCTCCTGAGGCATCTCTGGGGGAAAAAACCAACACCCCTCAATTCACTTACATCACTGAAGATGACATAATGTTACTATGGTTAAGAATTTTTGGAATTAATATGTTGAGTTCTAGGACTATTGTAATTTATTATTTTAATCCTGATGTAATATTTGGTGGATGCTGTTCTTTTAGCTTCCAATTTCCTTTGGATATTTACTATACAAATACTTTTCTATTGTTTGTACAGATGGTGTAGCCATGTAAATTAGGTGACAGCTACACGCACTGATCTATCCCTGGTGAGGCAGACCTTCATAAATGTTTGCAACATTCCAGAGTTGCATGGGAACAGAAGTCACACGCTACTGGCAAGTACAATAAATTATGAACAGGCATTTGGAAAATGATGGTGTAGGCTGACAATCTCTCTTGAACTACATAGTACTTTCAGTTGTCTGGTTTTATGGTGCTGGTTAGCAATGCCAGCATTTGTCTTCAGAGGCACTCAGTATTTAGAAGAAGGGTCTATACGGAGTGGATAAGCCCCAGATATGCAAAGAAAGGGTTTTGCAGGGAATAACCCTGGAATCAGCACCCTAGAGTTATGTGGCAGGCTTTCTTTGCTGGACGAATGGTGTGCACGTGCAAACAAACAGATGGCCAGCTGCTCTGAAAAGCAAAGCAAAGCGTGCTGCTTATATACCGCCCCATAGCGCTTCAAGCACTCTCTGGGCAGTTTACAAGTTAATTATACAGGCTACACATTGCCCCCCCCCCGAAAGCTGGGTACTCATTTTACCGTCCTCGGAAGGATAGAAGGCTGAGCCAACCTGGAGCTGGCTGACTGGGATTGAACCCCGGATTGTGAGCACAGTTTTGGCTGCAGTACAGCGGTTTAACCACTGCACCACGAGGCTCTTCTGAAACACACCTATATCTCCGTTTCTTTTGAGGCTACATTGGGGCTATGGGAGCACTGTTCGTTTTTGTTTATTTATTATTTATTTATTTATTCGATTTTTACCCCGCCCCTCTAGACAACGTCTACTCGGGGCGGCTTTTGTCTTGTTTTGTTCTGATTAAAACTTGAACAGACTCAATAACTGTGTCACCCACAAACAGAATCTCTGTCCAGTCTAAGGGAAATCTGAAATTATACGCTGAAGAGCTGCAAACAGAGACGAGAAATTCTCGGCTGTAAATTCTTGCTTATCTTGTCTTCACAAGCAAGGAGGTACATTTGCAATTTCTCAGGGTGATATTGACTTGATGTTTATAGAAAAATTGCAGAACTTGTGCAAATTACTCACCTTGTGAAATGTGTGCAATTTGTACAAATTGTGCAAAAAAATGCAGTACTATAACTGCTGCTTCGTTTCATACACATTTAAAATCTGGACTGTTAAGTGAGCTCTTCATAGTTTTTTGATCAAGCAGTTATTCTTCCATGTCTGCACGTGTGTGTGGTTTGCTTTGCTTCTTAAAGGGAAAGGACACTAGTTTTGCATAAACTGCCCTG